AATTATAACTTGTGAAACAAGTTTTTTAATACATTTGAAAGAAGAAACTTGCAATAATTTGCTCAATAGTTGTTGTTGTTCTTTTTATATCCTATTAGTAAAATTGGCTTATTACCACAAAAGTTATTTTACATGGTGATATGTAGTTGATAGCTCTCATTCGGTAAACTATTGCCTTAGTTGCATACAGTCTTTGAGACAATTTGCAAGTGATACTATCTATTTGTGAGGTCACAGATAATAATACATCTAGTGTTTTGTTTGTATATGTAGCATTCTTACAACATGGTATAATGTTCCCATACACCAAGAAATATTTAAAAAATATATTTATAAAGTACCTAGTTCATGAAAGGACAAAGACAATTTACAGCATTTCATGCAAATACTTGTTAAAATTTTATGTAAAATTAAATTTTCTACCATGAAGATTACTATTTGGACATGGTAGAAATAGATAAATAACTTATTCCACGATAAACTTTCAAAAGTATAAAACATTGGGTGATAGGTTTTATGCTTCAGTAATTTTGGTTTTATGAACAAAGCTATTATATATGAAAATTCTTTATTCCTACTTATATAATTATAGCTTTAAAGCCCTGTGAGTTTATGGCATTTCATTTTTTTTAATTTGAAACTGGCCAGCGCTTGAGTGCCATCCCTCCTGATGGTAAGTGGCGATGCAGCCATTGATGGTAAGAGCGCTAGCTCAGTAAAATACTATCACCTTTAAGACGACTATGTTGTAATCGGACGGAGAGAGACCAAAAGATTAGGAAACATTTATACCATGTTTATAATCCCTATGGAGGTATTTATTTATAAAAATTATACCATAAAGGGCTCTTGTGCGCTACAATTAAACTCGATGCAACGGATGGATTTTTTTATTTGTTGCACCCAGCTAACTTATTAATAACTTACGTTGCACAATTAGGCAGACTTGTTCAGCGAAGTACCATAGCCTAACAAAAAATCAGCGTGAAATGGAAGTATTATAACAAAATTGGCAATCCATCCGGTGTTGTATGAATGGTGTAGGTTGAATTGCCTGTTCTCTTGCCAACTTTTGTCATGAAAAATATTTATTTATGTTCTTTAAATAATGACATAATACACAAAAAAATCGTCTTTCACTTATTGCAATTTATTTGTCAAATATAATGGCTGCTACAAAGGAATGAATACAAAGTTATTTTCATATGTTCTGATAATAAGTGATTACTGCCACCAATGCACATTTAGAACACATGAAGGGTTGCAGTTGCATTACCAACATTTAAAAAAGTAAGCCCCGGCTACCTCACTCACTTCTGATGAGGTTATGGCACGTCCATTGGTGGCAGTAATTTGTGTCCATTCGTGCAACGGCAGCCATACAAAGGTGCACAAGAGTCTTGGGTTCGGTAGATAGACTCTGGGATAGTAAAAACGTCTGATATTTTCTTGGTATTCCACATCGGATTGTTACAAATTGAGGCGTCAGAACGTATAGTTACCTGCAGCGCTCAAGCGCTCCAGAAGATAAATGGCGAGTCTGCAATTGTGTGAACAACCATTGTTAAATAGTTTACGAAGTTTTTCGCATTTGATTATGTTTATAATTCCGGACAGACTTAACCGTACTCTGACCGTGGACTTGTTTAAAGCGAATTCATAACTGTAATTAAACGCAGAATAATCCGTAAATTATAAATTTATTTGACAATGTGTATTATTTGCTTGGACACAAGATATCATAAGTATGAATATGAACAGCTAAAAAATAACAGCAATGCTTGGAAATATACTCCTGTACAAATAAAATGGGCAATGCATTTGTCATATTAATGAGGATTAGCAGTACACCTAATGACTTTTTTTTCATATCATCACTACATAGTATAAAACAAAGCCGTCCGATCTTGATGCGTGTTTTTTTACTAGATAGAGTGAGAGTGATTCAAGAGAAAGGCTTATGTATTTTTTTTTATGTGAAAAGTTGCCAAGCGAGCAGACGGTTCACCTGATGTTAAGTGAATACCGTAGTACCGTACCGAATAGTAATATTAAAATAATATTGTAAGTATAATACAACCCATGCGAAGCCAGGGCGGCTCGCTAGTACAAGTAATAAAGTGATATCACTGAAAGAGTTTCGTGACCGATTTTTTTTTTGCCTAGTGAAAGTTTCTTTTTCGAATATCCGGGACTATGAATTCACGTCATCCGTTCCGGTAGTAATGGAAATGCTGTTAACCCATATCGTATAATTTACGCCCTACCATACAAACATTGTCTTATTTTTTCCTACTGCACACGCATCGCAGCGTCTTCCTGTATACCACAGATGCGAGTCACGGTGGATGTGAACTATTTTTGTTTCTGGTGCAATTGACAGTGGTATTTACGACGGTTAAATATTCACGTGCACTAGAAGCTGTTATTGTTTAAAGGGATGTCGAAAGTGAAGAAATATATCGAAAAAAATCAATATCGGCCTCGATATATCGAAGAGAAAATATCCATCATACGTTTTAAATATTTTACATCTAAGGACAGAGAGAATGTAATCACTACGTTTACATTTTACGGAGTTTATGCCGGATTTGAATGAATATTTTATATAGATATATTGGATCCAAACATATTGCCTAAAAGTATCGGTATTTAAAATCAAAAATATTGATATATCGATATTATTTCGTCATCCCTTGTGTAAATGCTCTTTAATTATGCAGTATTTGTTGGTTATTTTTAAACGGTTTTATTTAGCTCGACACGTACGGAATTTATTTGTTTATTTAGGTCAAAATTAGAAATTGAAATTTAAGCACCTTACCGTTGTCAGATTGATCTGAAATTTGGTACACACATTTAATTTAGATGACAATACAATATTGTAGTTTTCAGTGCATAAAAAAAAACCAGAAAATAAAACCGTTTAACTTAAAAGTTTTTAAACGGTTTTAGTTTACGTGACCTTCATTGAAATAAAAAATGAAATACTTTAGGGGTAATGGTTTCCCAACTCATGTACTTATATTATAATTTGTGATTCTTATATTTTTATTAATTAAATCTAGGTATCAAAGAAATGCGATTGCAAGGATTGTGAAACAACGAAATCCGTACACTGGTGAAAACCGTGGGCTTAATGTATGTTTGTATGTAAATAAATGTGTCGTAGGTAGCAATAGTTTATCGTTTTAGTTCGCTTTGGGGCACCCGCTTTCTCCAACTTTATTGCACAGGCATAAAAGTCTATTAACGCCACGTCTACGTCTGCGATTACGAAACCGCAGTAAAAAGAACTGTCGGACAAGATTTGAGCTGGCGATTGCAAAAATCGATTCGATCACGCCTCAGCCGGTGCCCGACGTTGGTGAGATATTGTCGAGTGACTAGACCGCCCGCAGTCGCTTTGTTTGCGGAGCCACAATGATTTTTGAGCAGATAATCAGCAGATTTGAAATTGTGGACTCGACAGTAACAGCACACGATGGTATATAACCTCAAAATGATCTTACGGTCGTGGGAAAACAAAGTAATTGAATTATGGTCAAAATGTCATCAATGGTCACAATTCGTTTAACTTTGAGTAATAAATACGAATATAGATTTGTTATTAACACCATAATTGTTTTGCTAGGAAAAAAAATTGACATCTTCCGACGTTTAAAGATCGTTCATTGGTCTTTTGTTAGAAATAAGTTATAAAACATAGCTTTTACCAGTTTATACAACTATAGTTCAATAATTGCATTACAATAATACTTAGCTTTTTCAGCAGAGCAACAGCGCCTTAACTTCAAATAACCAAAAGTAACCCGCGTACGTTGTAAGAGTTGAATTTATACTCCTCAAAAACATATACCAACCACCCCCTCTAGGGTGTAGGAAATACGACGCAAAATGTGTCCAACCAACAAATTTTAAATAAATCACAATAAAGTGTTCTAATAATTTATTGATAAATTATTAATTAGATTAAATATGTTAAATAATTATAATACTGTTCCTTTTTCTAAACATTAATTGTTATCATCAATAAACTAACTGTCCACTCTTTACCACGAACCTTTTCGTGTTTGGCTTTGCCCAACCATTTGTAGCCTTGGATTGTTATACCCAAAATGTACCTACGTTACAGTCTTAACCTTTGGAATATAGACAATTTACTGCGGAACACACACACACACACACGCAGGCACACTCACACACGCATTATCATTCGAGCCGTACCTTCCCTATTTTTTGTTTTAGTAAATAATGCATTACTAGATTTTTAATTAAGCTTCTAATTGAGTTAGTAAGAATAAGTACTCGGCTCGATATAGTACACAAGATTACTAGATGTAATTTCAGACAGAATTCAGTAGACTCAAGTTTGAAGTGTGTCTTCCTTTTATCCTGATTATTTCGGGCGTGATTGTATTTTCTCAAATGACTATAGCAAATTAATTACTGATGCTATTTTATTATACGTCTGATTAAGTACTTTTAGTTAGTCCCGAGCCAGAACTTCCTCGATCGAGTTGGCTCGTTCTTGAAAAAGCGGGAGGCCGCTGCGTGGCGTTACCAACATTTCTTTTATGTGAAAAAAGGTAGCAAACGAACCGGACGGTTCACCCGATGCTAAGTGATAACCGCCGCCCACTTTTGCTACACCCATAGGATCGCAATGCGTTGCTACCATTTAATTAAGTGGGCCCTGGCTACCTCACTCACCAGATGAAACGCAGAGGTATAACGCTTCCACTTCACGTCGGTCTTCTGTGGTACGTCGTGGTACGTCCCCGGACGGACCTGCCCATTTCGTGCAACAGCGAGGACTGTTGCGTTGTCCTACCACAGTGAATCTACTCCCATGTTGATTATGCGTGGTCCTAGCACAATCAAACTACTAAACTACTGTGTTGATTACTGCCTTTGTGGATACCTCCTACCTATCGGTGTGTCGACCGTACTGAGCCGGTGTCCTTTCGACTGTCCAGGGTTCGCCGCACGGGTCGGTGATGTCGTGCCAGTCGCTGGCGGCGCGCGCCTTCGCCGAGCCCGACAAGGACCCCTCGCAGTGCGTCTCCTTCCACAGGTAAGCATATCGGTGCGACGTCAGAACTACATCAGTGGATAACGCGCCCATGAACACATGCGCGGCCCTACCCAGGGAGGGTTGAGGTATCAAGTTGGTCGAAACAACACTACAGTCGCATTACTAGCACTGGTACATATAGTGAATATTATTGAATGTATAGAAAAATCAGGTGGCGTAAGATAACCCGAATGGCGTAGTGTCTGGCGCAAGACAGATACACTACCCGTGTATCTGTCCTTCGCCAGAGGGTTTGGGTTCGATCCCCACTACTGGGAAAATATTACTTGTAAAAAGTATATATTAGAATGTTTATCAGTTATCTAGTGCCCATATTACAAGCATTGCTTAGTTTGGGACTAGAGAACGTTGTGTAAAATTGTGTCCCAAAATATTTATTATTCAGTGTCACAGTTGCCAAGGTATTGGCTAAGGTATTTGCTTCGACGTCGGGGGTCGTGGGTCCGATTCCCACACGGAACTACTATTTGTGCGACCCGCAGATAGTTGTTTCGCATCTGGGTGTTTGCCCACGTGAAATTCATATTTGTAAAACGTCCTTACAACACGGGATAATGTAACCCTAAAGTAAGGGCAATGTTTTTTTTTAAATAGAAAGAGATAAAGATGAAAGGTGAAACCTTCTTTTTCCAGATCGGTCCGATTTAGTTCCGAGTCTCGCAGCTCGAACAGGGTCTCCAATGAGCCGGACTGCAAGAGAGATGCATCTGGTAAGTACGTGTGACAACACTTCTCCTATCGATTCGAAGTAGTACGGCTTAGGGAAGATGAGAGGGCAACACTGATAATCTTTGGGACCTTGATGTCATCATCATCACGATCATTTCAGCCTGTTTGTGTCCACTGCTAAACGTAGGCCATCCCCACAGACTGCCACGAAGTACGATCCTGAGCCACCTGCATCCATCGACTTCCCGCACACTTGCACAGGTCGTCACTCCATCTAGTGGGGGGTCGTCCTACACTGCGATGGCCAGCACGAGGCTGCCACTCGAGAACCTTTCTTCCCCAACGGTTATCGATTCTACGACCTATATGGCCGGCCCTTCGCCACTTCAGCTTACTAACCTTCTCAGCTATGTCGATTACTTTTTTCTAATGCGGATGTCTCCGTTGCGAACTATCACGCAGAGAAATACCTAGTAGTAATCTTGGTGTATTGGATATGAATTGGAAAGGGAAAGAAATCATTCTTGTAAATCGATCATCATATGCGTTTTCCTTTTTCATTATTTTATAACATCACCTAGAATTTTCATTATTTCTGTAGCGCGATGGTATTTTACAGATATAAATTGCTTTTAAAAGAACAGACTTTTCTTCTACTAACGCTCATAGCGGTTTGGAATCGTAACCACGACGTACAGCGCCCAATTGTTACAGGTTAAAAGATAAACCGAAATCAGAGCCACATTGGTGCCCAACCACAAGGCAAATGACTTGGCAATTTCAAATCATTTATTCTTTTTTTATGCTGCGATTTACCTGATGTTAAATGATAAACGACGCCCATTGACAGTTGCAACACACGTAAGGTTGCTGATGCGTTGCTAACTTTAAATAAAGTGTGCCCCGGCTACCTCACTCACCAGACGAAACGCAGAAGTATTTATATAACACTTCCGGTTTCTTTTTCCTTGCCGGTTTCTTCTCAACAAAAACTGCTTTCCTAACCGGTGGTAACTTACGAACATATTAATTTCTTTGTAGAATTTCGACGTTTCGTAAGAACGCGCAAGCGTCTATGTGAGTAAAGATATTTTTATTTATTTATTTATTCCATTATTATGTGAGGTCGTGGTACTTAGCCGGACCGACCCGCCCGTTCGTGCAACAGAGAAAAGGGTCGCGTGGCCTTACCACAATTTAATAATAATAATAATAATATACTTTATTGTACACCAAAAAATCAAAATGAAAAAGTACAAAAAACAAAATATTTAACAAAATATTGGTCATCAAAAGGCGGCCTTATTGCTACACAGCAATTTCTTCCAGGCAACCTCAAAAATTTACCAAAAGGAATTGTTGATGGGTAGGATGTACATGATATATAATAATAATAATAGTAAAAAGAAAGTAGCAATTAAAATAATAAGAAAAACATTTTTTTACAACAAAACTTATTCATCGAAGTAAGAAACATACATTTCATCTGTCGATTTTCTTTTTTTTTTAAATCTACCACCGTATGGTACTGAGGTTCCTCTAACGGAAAAAAACCAGGCGAAAGAAACTCCTTAGGTATTATCTTACGCCGGTAGGGCCACGCAGCAGCCTCGGCTGTCGCAGGAACGGGCAGTCTCGTCCGGGTAAGTATCACGACCTGGTAGAAGACCGAAGTAAAGTGGAAGTATAACACTTTCGCGTTTCGCCTGGTGAGTGTTGTCAAGGCATCTGCAACGCTCGAGTGTAACAGATATACATGGGCGGCGGTATTCATTTAACATCAGGTTAAACGTCCGCTAGCTCGGGAACTTTTCACATAAAAAAAATATATAATTGGTGTTAGGATCACGTTTCCGTCCGTTCTTCGCAGGCGGAATGTCGCTGTCCAGCTTGTCGGTGACGCCGCTCCCACCAGCGGTGGCCATGAGCCAGTCTGCGCCGCCAGCGTCCATCACCTTCGACCTCAACGACGAGGTCAGTGAACCCGGAAAGCAAGCAATCGTGCACACACACATTATAGCCTAAACCTGACAAGCGGAAGACCAGTGGAAGCGGTGAAGTATAAAAAAGCAAAGCAACGGCCTATATGTTTTTTTTTTAATTCAAGTGGACAGCTCTTGACGGCCATCCCACCCGATGGTAAGTGGCGATGCAGCCGTTGATGGTTTGCGCGCCCCCCAAAGGTCTGCACAGAAGGTATTAGGACTTAGTCCACCACGCGGCCCAAATCCCTTGGTGTACCTCACTTATTTTCGCAATATTTTTTTATTATTTCGGAAAAATATTTCGTACATATTCATACGCAGATCGTTTATTAATAGATCAATTAAACGTGCAAGTGATTCAACTGTTTTTAAAAAAAAGTTACACCAACCTTAAATATCAATACAGCAATAAAACTACATTTCCAAGTAATTTTCAGAAATCTTTTGGTAGTGCTGACCTACTTTGTTTATTTTTAAAATTTCGTCCCTAAAAATTATAAGATACTAAACCGTTTTATGGTATTCGTTATCTTTTTTTTCCGGTGGTCAAAAATTATATCTGTCAGTGGGTTAAGAATTTTGCTTTGATGATTTACTATCACTAGTAATAGTTGAAATACACAATAACAGATAGTTGAGTGGCTGTTCCGGTACCAAATACGTTTGGACATTTGTTGGATTCGATGTAGATTAGACAAAAAACTTCTATTATACATAGATTGGGTAAACGAAATGAAAATACACTTTATATAAACTGCAGGTTGCTATTTGCCTCTGTTGTTTGTGAGAGCTTAATCGATTTTTGTCGTGCTCTTTTATTATGTTTCGCGTTTTTGTTAGCGTAATACTTTCGTTCGAAGTTTGTTCGGTTTATTTACTAGTTTTCATTCGTTTCTTTCTTATTTTTAACTGCTTTTTTATTACATAGTTTGTTGTTTTCCTACTACTCTCCGATTCTTTCACTTTAAACGTACCGAGTATGTTTTTCATCGTATAGTCTCGCCCGAACTTTCACTTGATTCGTTAACAAGTAGTAACTATGTCTATAAATTTCTTGATCGTTCAATTCGAGTCGTTGATACATTTCTCAATATACGAACTAAGCCTTAGTCCTTTTCGTTCGAATGAAAAACTCGCAATGGAACAAACTAGAAGCGTCAGTTTTTCCCTTTTATAATGCGAGATTATGATGGTCATGACAGCAAATAGGCATTTACTTCGCCGCTTACCATCAGTTTTATAATTGGTCAAGCACTCATCGTCCGCCGTAAGGAGTTCACTGTACCAAACATTCAAGACTACTCAAAACGCCACAGTTGTCCAGCACTGACCAATTAGTATTAAAAAAGTGGGCCCCGGCCACCTCACTCACCAAACGAAACGCACAAGTATGAACCCACTTGACGCCGGTCCTCTGTGTCCACCGGTCAGGCCGTGGTACTTACGCGGACGGACCTGCCCATTCGTGCAACAGCGAAGACTCTTAGTACCACAGATAAAGTGCCTAGTACCTAATACCTAAGTGCCTAATACCTTTCTCTTCGACAGACGCCGCCATCGCTGCCCTCCTGCAGGTTCCCAAAGCTGGAGGAATGCGCCCATTTCCACTACGAGCGGGTGTCCTTGGGGGGTCTGAACATAGAGACGGTGCCATGCGAAGAACAGTGCGAGGACAACGATCCCAGCGACGGTAAGGCTCTCTTTCTAACTGCCGGTTTAAATTTTCTGTCTGTCGATTTGGTTCCGATTCCAATTTCAGTATAATGGCTGTCTATTTAGTTACAGGAGATAGAATTTTGAGTGTTATGGAGCTAATGTCAAATACCTATCGCTTGTAACCAAATTTACCGATCTTTTGCTTTTGTAATATTAACACGATTATGTGTTATATTATCCAAAACGATTGCTTTAAAATTTAAATCAAACTTAAAATATACGCAGTATCTAAATTTTATTAAAAAGTTATCAGATATATCACGGGCTTTTACGTGTATATTCTGATATAGTTTTTCCGTCCGTAAAATTTGAAAAGACATAAGCGGACCCAGCGACGGTCCCAGGGGGACCCCAGAGAACATAACAACCACAAGCCACAATTACAAATATTTATGGAAACTATTCACTTTTGGCGACTCTGTGTTGCTGTTGATTAAATTTATACAAATTGTGTTGTATTACATTTTTGCCGAAGACCATACCACTAAGCAGTGTATTTGTCCTCGGAGTATATTGCCGGTTCTACTGTGGTCTAATTTAGAGAGATAGCAGTTAGAATTCGCAGTATTTTGCGTAAAACGAGTCTTAAATTGAATTTCGTAATAACTCTATATATATATATATGTTCGTACTATATACATACAGCGTGTCGTTACCATCGCGACAATAAATGAACACACGTCTAACGCTACTTGCCAATAATCATAAAAAAATATTAACGTTAAACTAAATCCATAATTTAAAAAAAAATATTTTTCTAACAAACTAATTAAGTAAAAAAGAAACAAAATTTGTAACATCCTATACAACTCGCGCCACAGCGTCGCATTACAAGCCTCTCCTTCTAACAGTATGTTTTGTCTCTTTTAAATTCATTCAACCCATTCATATGCTTTGTGACCTTTACAAATGAACTTTACGTTACAGTTTTATATGTAAGGATGTTCTAAAATTGTTTGTTTTGGAAAATTTAATAACTCTGTAAATATTGATGTTTGAAGAATGTAAATGTTTAATACAATTTTAAAAATTTATCCTCTATATGTGTGTTCACTTATTGTCGCGATGGTAACGACACGCTGTATATATAATTTATTACATCCCAGGGTGGATCTGCCTGAGGGTGCGCTCCCACGTGAGCGGCGACGAGATCTCGCTGGAGCCGTCGGAGCTGCAGGCGAGCGCCGCCGCCTGGAGCGAGCCGGGCGCGCAGCGCGAGTGGACCCTCACCAGGAGCCGCGACAACTTCCTGCAGCTGGACGACATGCTGCACAGGTGCCGATGCTGCTGTTTCTTGATTAGAAATAGGATAACTGTTGGGGCTAACTCCTAACACCGGTTATGATGATGTAAATGATAATATAGTTTATTATAACACTATTACAAAATTGATATAGTTGAAATGATACTGATAAAGTGATATTTTGAGAACGCGTGTTTAGTAAACTGACTGTTTGTCGCGGTATATTTTAATGCTTACAACGTATTGATGGACTTTAGGTAAAAAGTGCAAAGAAAGCTGTTTGGTTCAATAGTGAACCGAACAATAAGATTATAAACAACCAGCCTCCAAGATGATGGTAACTCTGGTTACCATGTTAAGAGCCCTTTTGTGTTCTGACCATATAAAATTGTCTCAGACAGTGTCAGGTCAATATTAGTTGTCTCTATGTTTATTGTACTTAAATATGTAAAACATCGAAGACACTAATTCAATGCACAATCAATGAGGATTGAGTTAATTAAACTCTACATACCACAGAAAACCTTATTGTATTTCATTTATTACGAAAAAAATAATCGAAAATTGTTGTGCAATCATTCGTTTAGCTTAGTGGTTATAGCATCTCGGCGCTAAATCGGAAGACGTTGGTTCGAATCCCGCAGCGACTGAAAAACTTTCCGCCCATTTTTTCTACAAATTTTTGTTTAATTCTAAGTACCCTGTAAAATTTTTATTTTTTTCTTATATTTCTTCTATTTATTGCCTTATCGCTCCCAGGTGCATATACGACCGCAAAGTGTCCGGCCTGCCGAACCTCTCTGAGGAGTTGCGGCCTCCTTGCGACGACTCGCGCTACCACCAGCTGATCGGCGACTACGTGCATCATCTCTCGATCATCGCCGACGACTCCATCAACTGCGGCCCCGTCCTCAATTGGCTGCAAATGGACAACAAGGGTGAGGGCATCCACCGTCTGCGGTATTCGTATCTTGGCAGTTTTAAAGATGATTGTTTATAAACTTCTTTATTTGGAGGCTTCTAGGCTGTATGCAGTAGATATGCTCTTAAAGTAAAAAAACGTGTGCGTACTTATGCACGCAGGTAAGAGAGAAGTTGTACTTTAGCATAACAAAGAGGGAATAATTAAAAATGTTGTCTAATGTGCCAGTGTTCATTACAACTTATTACATTCAATAAAATTGATTGAATAGTTTAAGTTAATAAGAATTATAGGTAAAATTTTAAAAAGTTCTTATTGGTGCTAAGGTGCCGTGAAGTTGGTGTAGCACATCGTAAAAATTCACTTTTATTATTTTTCTCAAATTGGTCGAAAGTAGTATAAACATGATAGTTAATTCGTTATATTTATTTCGTTTACAGGTCACAAATTGCTCGTTGCGAACGAAGACTCGAGCTCGATCAACACCCCGGCAGTGGCGGCCGCGTATTCCGTGCGCAAATACGTCTCCCAGGTGAGCTGCAAACAGCAAACAGTGGCATTTTATCCGGCGCGAAGGACCTAATTTTTCCAATATTATTTTATATATTGTGTAGTTACATTATTTTCTAAGTTTTGTATGTATCCATTGCGATTAGACGTTTCTTGTTTCCGTTTTATCCGGCGCGAAGGACCTAAAAGCTTTCCGTGCTCCGCAGGCGCGGGACGAGATCAGCTTCGAGGTGGGCGACATGATCTCGATCATCGACATGCCCGGTAAGCTCTTCGGCGGTGGTACATCTTGAGCGTAGAGGCGCGGCCGTGGCCGGCGCAATATTAAAGTAGCGCGTTTGGCGGCAGGGCCCCAGGAGTCGGTGTGGTGGCGCGGCAAGCGCGGCTTCCGCGTGGGCTTCTTCCCGCGCCACTGCGTGGCCGTCATCGGCGACAAGGTGCCCCGCCACATGACGCAGCCGCCGCCCATCGTCGGGTGAGTGGCCCCCGCCTCCCCTTGCGCCTGAAGCTTAGTATTGCCCGTCTTTGCTCGCTGTTCTCGACTCTTACACCGACTATACCTCATCGCTCCTGGTAAAGTTTACCCCATCATTTATATTATAAAGCAAAAATAAAAGTTGTCCTGTTTACCCTTTTTTTTTTTGGTATCGGGGGGAAATCGTCAAAAGATCTTCCAAACCTGTCATCTTACATGACAGGGTTATGTGGGGTTCTTACCCACTAAAACCCCCACGGTGACCACCTTCTGCACGTTTTGAGGGACTCCGGGATCTCCCACGGAACAGAACGGAGTTCCTCTGTACTGCGTGTGAGCTCACCACGGAGAAGGATAAACTTTCTCCGATTCCCTCGCCATCTTGCAGCGGCTCGAGACCACTTCGTGCTGCTGCCAGTCCGTGTCCCCTTTTAGTCAGCTTTTTCGACAGGCATTGGCTCCTGCCAAGGCTTACCCGATGGTAAGTGATCACGAACATCTGCAACACCGGTGGTCTTGCAAATGCGTTGCCGGCCTTTCAGGACAGAATATAGTCTTCTATTTTAGGTTCCCAGGTCGTAAAGGTCGGTCTGGAAAGGCTGCCGGCTGCAAAGATGCAGAGTGAACCAACATCTCTACGCAGAGCCAAGGGACCAAGTCGATCGGAAGGACTATGATCATTGATAACCTGTGTCGCTTTACGTTAAATGCGGTAAACCTTTGTCGCCTCTTGTAAAGTTTTCACCTCTGTCACATATCTGAATGTATTTTAAACCAAAAACCTGCTATAAGAGATATGATGGCGTCGATATTGTACGATTCCTGTGGGACGATTAAACTAAACTAATGGAGATTCCCCTCCAGGTCAGTGGCGGTGGCGCCGATCAAGCCGGTGCTGAGGAAGCACGGCAAGCTGATCTCGCTGTTCCGCAGCTTCATCCTGTCGCGGCCTTCGCGGCGCAGCCTCAAGCAGCAGGGCATCCTCAAGGAGCGCGTCTTCGGCTGCGACCTCGGCGAGCACCTGCTCAACTGCGGTCACGATGGTACTTTTATTTGTATTTTTTGGTCTCGAGGGAAGACGAGATGTTGCGTTGTTAGGCTATCTAAAACCTGCCTCGAACATATTGACGTCTCAGTGCTGTGCACACATCAGAGCAGATAAGTGTCTTCTTCTCCGTGAAGGTTGCGCTACTTATAGGATTTGTGTATTAATATATATGTCGGCTCTGCAAACTGGAGGGGGCGTCTTCCCCAGAGAACATATTGTGTCGGGCGATGCGTGGATTATAAGCGATTCGAACAATGTATCGTTATTACAATAGATTCATCGACAGGAAGTCACAACGAGTCGTAAGAGTCACCGCCACACTTATAGCGGTGCGCTCACCGAGGGCTTGCAGTGCCGCAGGTGCTGGCGGAGTGCGCGCGCGCCATCGAGCGGCGCGGCGCCGTGGACGGCGTCTACCGGCTGTCGGGCGGCGCGGCGCTGACGCAGCGGCTGCGCGCCGCCTTCGACGCGGCGGGCGACGCGCCGCCCGACCTGGCGCCGCCGCTGCAGCGCGACCCGCACGCGCTCGCCAGCCTGCTCAAGATGTACTTCCGGTGCGTGCCACTCCTCCCCTTCATTCTATACTCCCGCCTCTACGCTCAAGATGCACTTCCGGTGCGTGCCACTCCTCCCCTTCATTCTATACTCCCGCCTCTACGCTCAAGATGCACTTCCGGTGCGTGCCACTCCTCCCCTTCTTTCTATACTCCCGCCTCTACGCTCAAGATGCACTTCCGGTGCGTGCCACTCCTCCCCTTCATTCTATACTCCCGCCTCTACGCTCAAGATGCACTTCCGGTGCGTGCCACTCCTCCCCTTCATTCTATACTCCCGCCTCCTACCTCAAGATGCGCCTTCCAAGATGCACTTGCCGGTGCGTGCCACTCCTCCCCTTCATTCTATACTCCCGCCTCTACGCTCAAGATGCACTTCCGGTGCGTGCCACTCCTCCCCTTCATTCTATACTCCCGCCTCTACGCTCAAGATGCACTTCCGGTGCGTGCCACTCCTCCCCTTCATTCTATACTCCCGCCTCTACGCTCAAGATGCACTTCCGGTGCGTGCCCCCGCTTCTCCCTCGGCCGACACTCCCACGTCTCTATGTTCACTATTCACTCACTCACTTCACTCACCCAATTCTACCATGTCTATGTTCGCTATGTTCCCGCCACTCGCCTCCATCAACCCTTTCAAGATTTACCTCCGGTCGGTACTCCACTCCCAGTTTTTCCTCTCCTACCCAATACTTCTCTTATGATCACATTTACAAATTCACTGCAAAACAACAAATTCGCATGTGAATAAAATAGAAGAACATCTAAATTAATAATTAAAAAATAATTATGTCTCCAGCGAACTGCCGAACCCGCTGTGCACGTACCAGTTGTACGACAGCTTCGTGAGCGCCGTTCAAATCCCGGACGAGACGGCCAGGCTCAAGGCGATGAGGGAGACGGTGGTGAAGCTACCACCGCCGCATTACAGGTACGTTGATCTTGAATTATGGAGTTTTTGGTTTACCAAGGCGTTACAAAAAATTCTGTTGTGTTGACAATCTACTTTGAGATCACTGTATTCATCGGTGAAAAGAAATATCCGGAGGAAATCTTGATATTTTAGGAATGATCATACTAAAAAAAATATATAATTTTCCAAAGATATGCGAAGTCTAGGCGCGTTACCCAGACGACGCGGGTTCGAATCCTGGCGCAATACTCGTATCTCGAATGTCGATTGCTAATAAATAAATAAAATTACCATAAATGGACTCGAATAGGCTCGTTACTTTCACCGGTGTCCGCCTCAGGACGCTGGCGCACCTGATGCGGCACCTGCGGCGCGTGTCGCTGCTGAGCGAGGCCACGGGCATGACGGCGCGCAACATGGCCATCGTGTGGGCGCCCAACCTGCTGCGCTCGCCCGCGCCGCAGCACGCGCTGCAGGGCGTCGCCGTGCAGGTAGCCTCCTCCGCCGACCGCCCCCCCACTCTCCAACGAGGCGGGCGATCATCGTCCCCCTCATTCCTCAGGAGAGGCGGAAATGATCGCCCCCCACGCTCTTCAGGACAGGCGGGAGATGACCACCCTCACTCTTGGAGAGAGGCGGGAAATGACCGCCCCCTCACTCTCCAACGAGGCGGGCGATGATCGCCCCCCTCATTCCTCAGGAGAGGCGGAAATGATCGCCCCCCACGCTCTTCAGGACAGGCGGGAGATGACCGCTCCCTCAGTCTCCGGAAGAGGCCTAGATGTGTCTGCCCCCTCGCTCTCCAGGAGTGTCGGGAGATGAGCGTCCCTCTAACCTTTCGCAGCGCCCTCTGTCTTGCAGTCTCTTTTCTGCGCCTCTGCTAGACTACACTCTATGATAAAGTTTTTCTAATTGTTTCCACATTTTGGTTTGTGTACAGTGGCTAAAATTCCTTTCAATGAACCACCACAGACAACCATGTATATAGTGTTATCAGTAATTTTATTCACATAATATTTATTTTTGCCAGCCACCATTAACTTTGACGCAGCCTTATACCATCTGTTAAACCGCTCGCTCGTTCGCCACCTTCCGTCAATTAAAAAATGCTACTTTCCAGGCGGTGGTCACCGAGTTCCTCATCTGCTACGCCGAGGAGTTGTTCGCGCAAGAGCAGGGCGCTGACTCCGGGCCGGATTCCCTCGAGCAGGTCCTCTATCAGCCCGAAATCTCTCCATTGTACCAGACCAATAAGAATGACACTTTAAATATTAAGGTCTATTTTTAAAACTGAACATTGTATCTTATTTCCATTCATACTATGTACCATGTAGATGTAACTTGGGATATGTACATAATTTATGTATCTTATTTTAATATAACAAGTAAACCTAAAGTAAGTAATTTATCATCATTACCTGTCTTTCTAAAGGAAAATTGAGATTTTATCAAAATAAGCATAATAAAAAGGATCTAAATTATACACAGAAATAATTTGATTTCTTTCATTTCTTGCACTAGTTTCGCGTCGACTTTTAATTTTGAAAGTGTAAAATATCTTTGTAATCGTTTGTTTTCCATTTCTTAATTAATTTTTTTTATATAATTCGTTTTAACCGTAAGTTTGGATTACAGGATCACTTCGACTGTCAAGTCGAGTTGCGTGGCAACGAGTCGTGCAGGCGGCCCAAGAGTCTGCCACTCAACCCACCCACAAAGTTGCTCAGGTGATTCCATAAATGTTTTAGTACAGAGCCCAGTTCTTTTTATAACTGACCATTGAAGAGCTACAATAAGAAGTCTTCACAAATAAAGATAACAAACTAATTTATTATCTTTATTTATGAATTCATAACCATATAAAACGATGTAACCAATTAATGTAGTCTATATCCGTTTGACAGTAATGGAATTTGGTTCGACGTAGGCTAAGGAAACTTAAGTGTGATTGTCAGAACACTGATATTCCGGTTCGAATTTTGCATAAAGAACGCCCGTAACAGTGTCCGTGTCCCCAGCTTCGACGTGGCTAGGCATTACACAGAGCACGCAACAGAGTGTCCGACAGCTTCGATGTAGCTAGGCATTAGCACAGAGTAAACTCACAACAGAGCGTCAGCAGTATCGATGTGGCTAGGCATTGCACAGAGTAAGTCTGCAACAGAGAGTGTCAGTGTCACCAGCATCGACGTGGCTCGGCATTGCACAGAGTAAGCCCGTAACAGAGCGTCTGTCCGCAGCCTGGAGGAGGCGCGGCGGCGTGGCGTGCGCGGCGAGCGGTCGGCCGGGCCGCCCCCGTCGGGCGCCATCGCGGCCGCGGCCGCCGCCCCCTGCGCGCCCGCCCCCCGCGACCGCGACCTGCGCCCCGCCGCCCACCTCAAGCCCAAGTACATCGAGGTGCGCCCCTACGCTCCTACGCCGTAGATGCTACGCGCGTAGCTGCATTCATAGTCAAAGTCCATAAACAAACTCAGTAGGAACATTTTTAGGACCAAGACCCGCCACCAGCTAATAAAGTCCGCTTCTAACTTACGCCGTAGTAGCTACACACGAAGCTGCTTTAATATCCAAAGCCCATAACAAACGCAGTGGAAACGCCAAAACCCACTATCAGAGTAAAGCTAGCTCTGCTCCTACTCCGTAGTTGCTACGCGCGTAGCCGCTTTCATATCGAAACGATAGTCAGATTCAAACGATATTTCTGTCCCTACAATGTAATACTATAGTAAGAATGAGGAAAAATAGCTAACATTATGTTTTATTAGTTATTTGTTTGAGAATTTTCTAGTTGACTTTCTTAGTTTCTTCCAACTTGCAAAATGTCTATATTTTATTTATAACTGTGGCATGTATACGTTGAATTATTAATTATTAAACTGTGTACGTAATTGTGCACTGATATTACATATTTAAAGTACAACGCTTAAATATTCTAATGTAAATTTCACAGGTCGGCTCGGGACCAAACAACCTACCACAATACCACACTGTTTTGGATCTACCTCTATCAGGTAAGCTATTATATTATATATTATATTATATTAACCTAACATATAAACTAACTCACATAAATCGCAATTAAATTCAATATTACCATTATAAATCATTGAAAATACTTAACTAAACATTAAATAGAAATCATAACTAAAGCAAAACGCAGTACTACCGAGACTGGCAAAGTAAATAAACTAAATAATAAAAGGAATCATAAGTTGGTAAATCTCTTCCGTTGAATTAGAAATAGTCATATTCGTTTAAAGCTTTCGCCATAGCTGTAATACAATAAAATTATAAATTACTAACCTCACAAAACAGATACTAATTATAGCTCTGAACAATCTCGATCTTGTCAGATTTCAAACAAAAAAAATCACACTGTAACTGTTTAGAAGCTACGATGACACACAGATACACAGACACACAGACACACAGATACACAGATACACAGACACACAGACACACAGATACACATACAGCCACATACACAGACAGGTACATAGACAGGCAGGCAGACAGATACCCAAACGGACACACATATATACAGACAGACACACAGATACACAGACATACACACAAATACACAGACAAACCCAATTATACAGACAGAATCACGGATACACAGACAGACAAGTCAAACTTCCAACATCCACTTTACGTCGGGTGTGTGTATCAGGCGGCAAGCGCGGGCTGAAACGTTCGCCGTCGGGCTGGCGCGGGCTGTTCTCGCGCAGCAAGCTGCAGCGCGCGAGGGCGCCGCCGCAGCCGCCGCCGCAGCCCCTCGCCGCCCCCGCGCCGCCGCACCAGGTGCGCCCTATGGCCCACGGAATAAGGCCGAAACTCCAGCACTGACTAGGGCAATTAGCGCATCTACGGCCCACGGAATAAGGCCGAATCTCCCGCACTGACACGGGCAATTAGCGCATCTATGGCCCACGGAATAAGGCCGAATCTCTCGCACTGACACGGGCAATTCACGCTTCTATTGCCCAAGGAATAAGCCCGAAACTAGCGTGTTTAACCAGCGCACCTAAAGCTTCTCACACTGACATGGGCAGTTAATTTTGTATGCGTAGGTAGACAATTATATAAAAATATACATATTGTTTTAAAACATAAATGTATGGACTTTGTGTTTGAACATTGTCTTTTCGTTAATATATCACAAGATCTATATATAGATCACAAGAAAATAAAGACTACGTATTCATTAAACTTAGCCGATTAGTTAGTACCTCAATCCCTTGGTCGCACGCTCCGATTATGTTTGTTTGATTTCATGTTATTCATTGAGAAAGATACGTCGTCAACAATACAGTTTTACAATCTTACTACCAATCGCTGACGGGCGTGTGACTAACCTACCGCGCTCTGTAAGACTAGACTCTATGCTTATGGTAATAAGGGCGTGATTGGCCCGCATAAGGCGTCGCTGGCGGGCCTGTGCCTGACCCACCGCGCTCTGTAAGAGTAGACTCTATGCTTATGCTAATAGAGACGCGATTCGCCCGCAGGAGGCGTCGCTGGCGGGCGTGGCGGGCGCCCTGCGGCCCGTGAAGTCGTGCGAGTCGCTGGCCTCCGACACGGACACGCTGCCGCCGCTCAACGACGCGCCCGGGGCGCCGCTCAAGCACCACACCAGGTGCCACATCTTCTCCTCTCTTCTCTTTTTCTCTTCTCCTTTTCTCCTCTCACCTTTGTTGTACAGGCAAGCTCCCAAAATGTGATCTTTTGCGCTGCGGGATTCGAACCGGCGCGTTATGGTTTCGCGCCCACATGCTTTATCAACTGTGCGGCCGATGACCTCATGGAGTGATAATCTGGACATCTATCTTTGCATTTTTACCAATGCTTGGCGCCATCTAGTGTCCATAAACAGTATGAAACACTTTATTGGGTGGAGTGTATACTCTTGCAAGATGCGCCCTATTAAGCAACATCGGTTATTTTGTCCCATCGTTATTCACATCTTATATTATATTTAAAAGAACAAATCTTGTTTATGTCTTGGTTTTTACTATAAACTCGTTATCTAGGTGCTTTTGTTAATTACCACAATTTTTTTAGCTATAAAGGAAATCTTGTGGAAAATATTTACGGGTCGGAATCGAACCGTGGAACGTTTGTTATATCGCACTATATCAGTATATATGAGTATATCGCACAGGTCGGCGTCTTGCGACTCGTACTTCGAGCCGTGGCAGGCCGAGCTGGCGCACATGCGGCTCCGGCTGGCGCCGCAGGAGCGCGACCACCACATGTTCAGCGAGGAGGACGACCACCACCACCAGCGGCACCAGCACGACGACCTGGTCAGTGCCACCGCCGCTGCCACGGGCAACTCTGCCGTTATATTAAGTGCTCTCGCCACCGCTGCCACGAGCATCGGGGCCGCTTTCTTATAGTGTTGCCGCACGCCTACCTGTTGATTGCCGTTGCCATTATTGCCATACAGTGCCACCCGCGTGACAACTAATTAAGATATTTGCCACTATATCAGAGTAGCAAATGCCTCACTAGTTGAATGTTCCTGTCTATAGACGAATGGTCCTTCGGAGCGGATTTTTTTTTAAGAATACTAAAAAACGAGATTGAAGATAGTCAAATGAGATTGGAATTGAATTTAGTTTGCTTTACAGTCGTTTAGTATTAGCGTATTGAACGTTTTCGACATAAATATAGACGTATGGAGTGTTGTATGTCTCTCTGTATGACAGGAGTCGCCGTGCTCGTGCCCATGCAGCGCCACGCACAGCCCTAGTCGTCGTCCGCTCGGCAACGCCCGTGACACCGACGGCGCAGCGGACGCGGCTGCCGACGCCGACAGGTGGGTCGCCGTTCGATCCGTGAGAACCCAATCGAAAAACTATAATGGACCAATCGCTTCTTTTCACCAACTTGCAACAGATCAGAACAGCCCCTCGAACTTTAATTGATCATTTAAGTTTGGTAAGACAAAAATTTTAAAAGAAATGGAGTTGGTCCAGTCGTTATTAAAATATGTACAAAAAAAATGATCGAAAAGTTTTTTTTACCGCTGAGGGGGTCGAACTCACGTCTTCCGGATTCGCGTTCATACACTTTAACCATTAAGCTAAAATCTGAAGGAATTTATCTTATATTGTATATCTATTTTTATCTATTTCACAGCACACAAACAATTTCAAATATCGTTTTGCAACGACGATTCGAACATTACCATTTCTTCCACAAACTTTAACGTTTCACCATAAGTGCAGAGATTGGCACGTCACTAATCGGGTTCGAACCTGTTCACTTGTGCGAGCAGGCGGCGCGCCGCGATGGAGGAGCAGGTGGCGCAGATGGGCTTCATCGACGGGGAGTCCCCGCGCGCCAAACCCGCGCCAGAGAAGCGCCACGGCACCGCCGACGCGGACCCCGCCAAGAGGTAGGGCCTACAACGGTCCTCGCTGTTGCACGAATGGGCAGCTCCGTCCGGGGAAGTACCGCGACCTCACGGAAGGGCGGCGTGAAGTGGGTGGCACTTCTGCGTTTCGTCTGGTCAGTGAGGTAGCCGGGGCCCACTTTGTTAAGAGGTGGCAACCCTACGGGTGTTGCAAATGTAATATCAGTTTGCCAATTTCTCACGTAAAAAAAAATAGGTACGTCGGCTACTTCGCTCAAAGTCAAGGTCGAAATTTCTCTATTCAATATATACTCATTTAAAGCTTTAAATTTGTAAATTTTGTAGATAAATGAACAAAAACTATGGGCGCTGCGGGATTGCAACCCGCGTCTTCCGGTTTCGCGCCGCGGTTCGTTGATTCGATTCTCGAATATGTAATAGGATTAAAAAGAAAAGAAAGAGAAAAAAATGCCTTTAAACAATTCTATCGCATTTAGATGCGAGAGAATATGTAAAGAAGACACAGTTAGTATCTTTTTTACGTATTTTTCTAATAGCTATATACACGAAACAGTTGTTCGGTTCCAGGATATGCAAAGACAGGGAGAGCCCACTCTCCTCCCTCCAGGACTTCCAGAATAGTGGGAGCGTGAAACTCAGGTAAACCAACGACCAGTTTCGATTTGCAAATCTCGTTGTCTGCATTTTTTCGATCTCTCATAACCCCCTCTTCGCATTTTACATTTTATGTTTTACACCCATTTTTCATAACTTTATTAATAGCATTCCCAAAGTTCAGGGGTTGTCAACATTAAAAAAAAATCCGATCATGTTTGTTAAATAAAAGGGTACAGCCGAAATTACAAATAAAACAGTTATGTAGTTACTTACGTACTAAAATTTATTTTACTTTAATATATTATAAACAATCAAATTTTTAAAATATTGTAATTTGGAACTCCTTATCATGTTGCCAACCCCTGGTCATAGATATAATTATGAAATTTTTGTTTTTCTTTTGGCAGTTTACTGGACTTGAAAATTTTTAAATGTCATATAAAAAAGCTTATTGCTTAGGTTGTTTGAACGGAATTTAGTAATATATTGGTAGCTAAAATTGAAATATTTTTTGTGAAATTCGACAATGTCTTTCAAACAAAGTGAGTAGCAAGTTTTAATGAAGAGATTTATATGTAATCTTCGCATTTTAAGTTGTTCCCCAATAATTTTAATTTAATTTAAAAAAAAATCTTGTAAAACATAAGTAAAATCGCTGGATGAAGTTTTGTTTCATTAAATATAACCATTGCCTATGGGCATGAACGTGACTAGATTTGTTAACAAGCGTTGTTACGTAAGGCCGAAAGCATTAGCATGCGAGTGTCGCACCGTCCACGTGCACGCGAAGCCGCCGCGATGCTGACGCCCCTTGACGCTTGCAGAGAGCGGCACTCGCCGCGCAAGGGCAAGGCGGCGCCGCGCCACAGCCACCACCAGCCGCCGGCGGCAGAGGAGGAGAGGAACGGGCGGCTGACGTGGCACGGCAGGGAGGGCCACTCGACCCTCATCAGGATCGACTGGCCGGCTGACGACGCGGCCAGCTCCGTCCCCTCGGGCCCGCCCACGCCCGCCTACGAGATCCTGGAGAGCGACTCCGAGCCCAGCGAGAACAGGCGCGGCGCCAGGCCGGAGCGCGACTGCGCCGGCTGCCGGCTGGGCCAGTGCCTCGAGTGCGAGCTGCGGGCGGCCGACCACTCCACCGACGCCAGCTGCCAGAACCTGAACCGCCTCTCCGCCGTCTCCACCTCGTCCAACTCCTCGGGCCGCCGGCGCGACGGCGGCGAGAGCTCGCCCAGCCACTCCAACAACAGCCCCACCAAGCACTCGGACGACCTCTACGAGTGCTTCGACTACAGCAGGCCCACCTACATCAACCTCCAGTCGTCCAGCACGTCAAAGAGCTCGCCCGGCTCCCCGCTGAGGAGTCCGCTGAAGTCCACCATCAGCATCACCTTCCGGTCGCCCACGATGCCCAAACTGTTGGACTACGAGACCGTAGACAACGAAACGCCCACCAACGATAGGGACTCTGTGTACGAGGACATAGATCTCGAGAAGAACCTGTCGATCGTCGAGGAGGCGTCGGTGCCGGAGACGGACGCGAGCCTGCCCACGCAGCAGGCGCACCAGCCGGAGGCCTTCGGCGAGGACCTCATCATCCTCGAGACGCCGACGGAGAGGACGGACGCGGAGAACAACGCGGACGTGTACAGCCAGGTCAAGTTCTTCAGGAAGAGCATCGAGGAGGTGAACGCGATGATCCTCGAGTCGCCGGAACGGGAGACGGCCGAGTTGGAGCGGCACTACGAGAACGTCGCCTTCCCGGAGCCGATCGACAGGGACTACGAGAACATAAACGTGGACGCTTTGAAGATCCGTGATAAAGTGGACACATGCGCGGACGAGGAAACGAACTTCCGCGACGACGACGACACGCCGGAGCGTGACAATGGAAACGTTGTCAAGCGGAACGCCCACGCGAAGAACCTCAACGTGCGCGAGCTGGCGATACGCTTCGAGAGCCCCACGGAGCAGAAGGGCCCGTTCACCTTCGACAAGTTCAAGGCCGAAATCAAATATCCCTCTTTGGAGCGCCACGACGAAGACAAAAAGTGCGAGCCAAGAAAAAAAGAGCTCGCCGTCAACCCGCCGCCGCCCCCCTCGCCGAAAACGTACAAACTGTCGAAGAACTCCACGCGATCGCTGGACGAGAGCGCGTTCATCAAGGAATTCGGCGGCGACTCGGACGACAGGCGGAAGAGTATGGAAGTCAAGAAGGAAAGCACGAAACCAACCCGGAACCTGCCAGATCTCAACCTTAACACCGAGCAGCAGGACACAAAATCGGCAAGCATAACGCCGACCACGGAGAACAAGATCTCGCTGGTCCAGCGATTCGAGATGAAGAAGCCCGATCTGAAGAACCTCATCGGCGCCGAAACGGAGAGGAATTGAGCCGCGAGCGGATAGAGAAGTACAAAGAGGAGCGCCGAAACTTCCTTCGCGAGAAGTACAGCTCGCAATCGTTCCGGAGTAACCCCGAACAGCTGACCAGGATCAGGATAAAGAAGGAGACGGAGGATGAGCGGAGGGTGGAGAACTGCGAGCGGCTGCACGAGGAGCTGCCCAAGTTCGAGCGCCGCAACACCGTGGACCTTGGGCAGAGGATGAGGTTCAGTCTGGCGCGGAGCAGCAACAATCTGGACACGATCCAGTCGCCACTCAGCCCCGTCCGCGACCTGGACTGTCCCACCAGCCTGGACTTCTCCAAGAGGGACGCCATACGTCGCGATGACAGGTACGCCTTTGCTTTTCGTTTTGTGTGTATGTGTGGCCGTGTGTTGGTGTGTGTTTCGTTGTCGAAGTTGTGCAATTAACCTATGTAGATTCATTCTTTGATCTGAGGTAGTCCAATTTCGTGCCGGTCTTGTTTCTCATATTGCATCCTTTTGTAACTTTTCATCGACAGTTAGACATTATTTTTTTTATTCATTCAATTCCTCTTCTCGTTTCGTTACTATTCTTGTTCGTTTGTGTAGCGAGCTTGGTAGAGATTTTAAACAAACTAGATTTCATAGACACACTCGAAGGTGTATAGATGCAACTGTAATAGAATTCTTTTACTTATTAATTTAACAAGGCATTGCAATGAAGGGAGGACATGTTTTATCAAACTTGATATTGACAATCTTTATATTTCAATATATTTGATTTTTTATCTATCTATATATATCGAGTTCCAGGCTCCATTTTTTTAAGCATTTTACTTTCGTACCCATTTCTCTAAGAGGCGAACCTGTTGTGATCGATGTCTCTGAAATTTCGCAGGAAGGAGAAGGTGTCCCCATCGTACAACATTCGCGACATGGCGGCCATATTCGAGCAGAAGTCGCAGAACAGCAACGGCTGACGAAAACCCGCTCACGGGTCGGGCATGTGCTGAACCGGCGGCAGGGACGTAGCTAGAGACGAGGAGTGGGAGTTTTAAGGACTCCATAGCCCTAGTCCAGGCCTCAGCGTGGACTGCCACGAGGAGTGGAATACGTAGTGCGATTTACCCTTCGGGCTTATTACGGGGACCACTACCGATGCTTCTTTAGCAGCTCGAATAGCGTCGCTTGCTTGAAACCTTACTACAATTTAAATTGAAGACAGAAACGTGTGGGGTTCCGCAGGGAGCAGTCCTAGGCACCGCACAATACACTTTCAAAGTTATCACTGTGTCTAGCTACGTCTCTCAAGAGGACTCTTCAACGTGATATTAGTTGTGTTCGTTGTTAACTTTGCTTAGTGCACCCGATCTGCGTATGTGGGTACTTTTTGTTGAGCTTCATTTCGCTAGTTATTTGAACCCTCAACTTTATTTATTTAGTCTTAAGGCGCTGAATCCCTTACAGTTTTTGAAATTCGCTTCGTGCTCTGGGCCCGCGATGACGTATTGCGTCATTTAGTTTTAGATGTAGACACGCTTTCGTTGTATATAATTCAATATTTGACAGGAACTTATGATTTATAGTCTTCCTGATCGAATGATTAATGTCAAGTTTGATAAATAAAATTGTACACAAAAAAAGCGTTACCGCGAACAAAAAAAAATTGGCTTTTATATATTTTATAGATATTTGGATGACCTCTTTACAAAATATTTACATACCCTCGAGAATTTCGTTGACGTTTGAACGGTAGCCAAATTTATTTATATAACATTTTCATATTTAAATGGAATTTAGTCGAGACTATTGTGCAAAAATGGGGCGCCCCGTGCATTTGAGGGCGCCGATTTATTTACGTTACGTTGATTGTGAAATAATTATTATCCTCGATTGTTGTTTATGAATTATTGAACGAACATAGAAGTCGACACCGGCCTAATATTTTCCCAGCTGGCCGACTGTACGTTGGAGGTGGGCGGGGTTCGTGAAATTGTTGTTTCGGTATCATTAAGCGTCTATATATTACTTATGTGGTTACAATGTACATAGAAACTTTACGCGTATCGCACTTAAGCTTAACGACTTATCTTCTGTGACGTATTTCGCTTAGTTTTGTATATAGTTTTGTTTTCACTAACGATATACATTAAGACATACGCTTGCCGAAGCGCCTTCGTTGCCAGTTATCCGCTATCGCGTTTAACGAAAACGAAATGTATAACCAAGCTTTTTGGCGGAGTTTGTAACGCGTTGTAAACGCTGCCGTTATTGAAATTGACGGTAGCTGTATATAGAATTGTATGCAATTTAAAAATTCCTTTTAGGTTTTTATTTTGGATCAACCTCAAAATAGTATTCTTTCTTACAAACAGACCAAGAGTTCTTTTTTTATTTTGATGATTCTAAAAAATTAGATAGACCTTGTTACGACTCTGCACATAGTACCTTTGTGTCGGATATACTCATTTTGACAATTGACATTAGAATTATTATTATAGTTCTCTTCTGATTTCTGCATAGAAAACTATTCATCATCAGTTATATTATACCGCCATTTCGACAGTTGACGTATGTCACCCGATGACAGCTGTCAAAACGTCAAAGCATAAGAAGGCAACGGCGTCGGCGAGCGTGCTACTTTGGTTGTCATTTATAAGTTGTTACGTTAACTTATTTATTAATTTAGTCCCTCCCTGAGATCTTGTAATGAAACTCTCATCACACAAATTTAGCATTACGTATTATCACTTTAATTGTTTAATTTTGTAACTATGAATTATGCACGTTTTCTTTTGTTGGCTGTAATTTTTATTATGTTTAAGAATCTCCATTGAATCTTGAAATGTTATCGTAGTTGAACAATACGGTTGAAGCTTTACTATCGTCGCTATAAATAAATGTATTCACTTTAGTAGGGAAATATAATTTAATCGAATGGAAATAATGTTTCACTTATGGCTTAAATATTTAGCGTAGTCTGTACGTAGAAGAGATATTCTGGAAGTGTGAGGCTGTTAATTGTTTTATACAGAAATGCCATCGTTAGAACGCAACACAAGCTTATAAAAAAGGTAAAAAAAACGGAAAAAGTCTAATTAGGATTGCAACACCTTTGAAGTATCGATCGTTGCCATATGTAAAAACAGAGTAGCGAGAAAAATGCATTTATTAATATATTTTTGTATTAATCGATATTTGAATGTGCTTTCAAATTAGTTAGCCGTCTGTCGTTAGAGGCGAATGATTAATTTACGGTTAAAACGGAAACCAATCGCATTTATCTGCACCGACATTTCGACACCATTTAGAAAAACTCTTAACGTAAAGATGTTTATTATATATTAAATAAAACCATTTTGCGAGAGAAAAAACTTTAGTTAAAAGCTTAAGAATTCCTAAAAAGGTTTTATTTAAAAGCTTTTACGGCGTTCAGAAATCATTCTATCCAACGACGGTCCAGGATCATTGGCAACAAAATGACGTCACGGAATATATGAACGGATCTAGTAGCCATTGTTCGATTCTCCAAGATTAGATGGTGCTTCGCTGTATATTTAAGGCCCATTTACACGGTGCAAGTTTCTTGCCTGTTATATACAATTAAATTGAAGCAATAAATGAGTTGCATGGTCTAAACAACAAATGGTCTAACAAATTATTGCGCGCAATTTATTACATTCAATTAAATTGCAAAATGGCATCGTGTAAATGGGCCTTTTAGCGATAGCGTATGTGTCATATTGGCTTAGGGCCACATCTGTCATATTGTTCGATATTCTCCTGTTCCCGAGATGCGAAGCGCCCAGAAATCCCTATACAACAGTTGACTGTGACTATATTAGTATTAACATTAACCGGTCTATAATATACATTGCGTCACTTGTATTATAACGTAGGAAAATCGTGACAATCGCTAAGATGTTGTTTAAGAGATTTAGAAAATATTACGTATTAATAAACCAACTGACGGCCTTGTGCGCTTTGTACTATATATAATAATCATTGAATAATTAGTGAACAGTTTACTTCCAAAAGTTGTGCATTTTTCTATTATACATGTATTATTAGATCAGAGAGTCGGGATAATGTTTTTTACAGCGTTTTAAGATGACTGTGTAATTATTGTCTCGACTCTCTTATCCTGTATGAATTACAGACTGTGACTCTGCCAAATAAATATCTCGTAGCCATATTTCCCCCGTTTTGTAAACCTACCTTACCTTTTTGAGATGTATCGTGTAGTAACCAATTGTGTAACATAACTAGTATGCGATTTCCTGTTTATATTATATCTGTAACTTTAAGGGACATTTGTAAAATATATCTACTACTTGCACTGCAGCGGGGCTGACGGGAGCGTCTTAAACAAAAATATGTTGATTACCCAAAAAAATTGTAACAATTTTAAAATTTTCCTGATCAATGTCACTACTTAACTGTCCGTTTCATTCTAAATTGAGACTGGCAGAATCAATCAATCAATCAAATCAATCTTCCTTCATGGAGCCATTACACTAAAATCGGAATCGGAAAATTGTAACCAATGAAATGATCACACGATTAAGAATAATTACCGGCAAACAACTTTGGTGCATATAATCGCGTCGGCTTGCGCGGTCAATATACAGTGTGTCGTTACCACCGCGACAATAAATGAACACACATAGAGAGGATAACTTTTTAAAATTGTATTAAACATTTACATTCTTTAAACATCAATATTTACTGAGTTATTAAATTTTCCGAAACAAACAATTTAAGAACACCCTTACGTATAAAACTGTAACGTAAAGTTCATTTGTAAAGGTCACAAAGCATATGAATGGGTTGAATGAATTTAAAAGACATAAAACATACTGTTAGAAGGAGAGGCTTGTAATGCGACGCTGTGACGCGAGTTGTATAGGATGTTACAAATTTTGTTTCTTTTTTACTTAATTAGTATGTTTGAAAAATATTTTTTTTAATTATGGATTTTGTTAAACGTTAATATTATTTTATGATTATTGGCAAGTAGCGTTAGACGTGTGTTCATTTATTGTCGCGAGAGCTAAATATAGACTACTGCGAATTCTAACTCTACTAGATGTTTGCCGGTCACTATTATTGTCCCTAGCATCACTACGTTGTAAGTGGCATATTTCATTCATTTTTCCTTGCAAACGTGACTACTATTGTTACTTGTCGTGTTTGCGTTTTATAAAGCCATTGACCAACTATTATGTGACTTAAGCCCCGCTCTTCGACGATTGTAAATGAGAGCTTTAAGCCGCGTGGCCGGGGATTCACGTCCCGCCGCAGCCAAAGCTTGTATCGTAGCGGCCAACGGAACCCGGTCGATTGATTGTACACAATAAAAAGTATTATCGAAAACTGCTCACGTTTGTTTCTCGATCTCCCTCTGTACTATATTTCGTCGAAAATAAATGTAATATATGAGATTCCTTCGCTTATTTTATCTGTCCTACGTATTTATTCTTTATTTTTGTAATTAATATAAATGTTTCAGGACACATTTTTACACAACGTTCTCTAGTCCCAAGCTAAGCAACGCTTGTTCTATGGATACTTTACTATATAACATATACATACATAAAATTACATTTCTTTTGTAAATAAATACATAGTATAAATATATAAACACCCAGACATTGGAAAAACACTATGTTCATCACAAATCAAAACTTATAAAGCTTTCAATCCGCAATGTCTCACTTCGAATTGAGAATGTTACTTTCTGAATGGAGAATCCCAATGTGCAATGCGTCAATTACACCTCAAAATAAATAAACTGGTGAGAATGCATAGATGCTATCCGACTTTTTACCTTCTTTGCTTTGTAATTAAATTCAGTAAAGATTTACATAACATTTTTTTTTTAATATGCAGCGTGTCGTTACCATCGCGACAATAAATGAACACAGGTCTAACGCTACTTGCCAATGATCATAAAAAATATTAACGTTAAAAAAATGCATAATTAAAAAAAACATTTTTTCAAACTAATTAAGTAAAAAAAACAAAATTTGTAACATCCCATACAACTACAACTGACTGATTCATACATTCAGACTTTCATTCGTTGCCACAGCGCCGCATTACAAGCCTCTCTCTCCTTCTAACAGTATGTTTTGTCTCTTTTAAATTCATTCAACCCATTCATATGCTTTTTGACCTTTATAAATGAACTTTACATTACAGCTTTATATTAGAACTAGCTTTATTTTAGAACACCTTACGTATAAGGTGTTCTAAAATTCTTTGTTTCGAAAAATTTAATAACTCTCTAAATATTGATGTTTAAAGAATGTAAACGTTTAATACAATTTTAAAAAGTTATCCTCTATATGTGTGTTAATTTATTGTCGCGATTGTAAAGACACGCTGTATATCATAGGACAAATGCAATGGTAAAATGAAATCACATTTGTATAAAAAGAAATTTTATTTACACGGTTGAACCGATAGTTTATTTGATAGATTAGTAAACATTAACCAAGTTAAAGTAATGACTTACTTGCTAGGAGTTCAAACCCAAGTAGGGACTCATTAAATGTTAAAAATTTCATTAATGAATACATATTTACAAGTTGATGACTTATGGCCCACCACCATTACTTGGAATTGACTCGATATCTTGAAATAATCAAACATTTAATCAGCTTTTTAATGAAAGACAATAGTAATCTCGCAGTCTACATGAAGTCAGTGCTTATAAGCCGTTTACATTTGGCGGTGAAAGTATAAAATGTGTGCGTCAGAATATCAAGATAACTTACTCCAAGAACAAATCAATTTAATATTTTCAGTGTTTATAGAATTTGCCCGAATTTCTTCAGAGATAAGGGAAATTATTATTATTAAAATTTATTAATGAAATCTGGTGTAGATATAAATATACACTCTTAAATTTTAATCGTTTAACTTGCAGTAGACAAAGATCATAGAGATTTAACGATTAATATTACATCTGTACAATATCTTTGGTGTTAACTTGAGTAAATTATTTAACAGTTCAAATATGAAATATATCTATCACAGAAAGATATTTAACAAAAAATACACCAAATTTAGCTAATACTAATATGCACGATGACTTCGGAAACTTGTTACAATAATAATTTCTATGAATAACTTAGCAATATTATACCTACACAAACAAACATATACATTTGAATTTTATATACATATTCAATTCCATTGTAAGCTACACAAAATACATATATGTCCGAGAAATTAAATTAATCTACACAAAATCATTAAGCATCATTGCAAACAAAGAAAAACATTAAAAAAGGGTCTAAATTACAATAATTCGGATAGTAGGAACAGTTACTAATACACCACAAAATCTTATTTATAAAATTATAGTTTATTACTAAGAAATTGCACAGTATAACTGCCAAAAGACATCTATTGAAGTTTCTATAAAATATAATCTTAAGCTGCTAAATCCAAGACGATATTGGGAAAATTAAGGAACAGAAATATTTACAAATTTTGTAATCTAATGTGCAAAAGATTTTCCTATGAGTACCTATTTAAATTATACTATATATTTCCAATAAAACAGTTCAACTCGAATAGAATTCAACAAATATTTTTTGACGGGTGGAACGCTAACATAATACTTTAAATTTAAAGTAACTTTTATCAGCCTATACTTCGTGTTACATTTGCCGCAACGTTAGATGACTATTAATGATCACACGTATGCATATAATTGACAAAACAATAGGATTAACATAAAATTTGGGCTAGGTAAGTGTTTAACAGCAAGCCAAGTATATTTGCCTACTTATAGGTGTTTCTCGGTTATTTTTAATTATTTACATTACAAATTTTATTATAAATTTTCAATTTATGTTTACATCGCGGTCAGTGCATCAGTTTCGTCAATAGTAAAGTTGAATTATCTACTCATCTATTCAAATTTATGTATAATTTATAACATATTTTATATATAATTTTTATTATTCATGTGACGGCTCAAAATCTCTTTAGCATGCAGAGTATAGGGGTAAGGAGAACAATCTTTCTGTATAAAATGTGACCGTCGAAATGCTTCATATAAGTGGTGCTACGGTAACATATTAATAGTTACTAATGTTGCTAGTTACTAAAATTTCACCAACCGTGAAAATCGCACTCTCTCGCTACTCTAGCGCCATTCTGGAGGAATATGGAACTGTATTTGCTACTTATAGCTGAACACTCGTTCCCCATGTAAGAAAGTTCTTACAACTACCCTCCATATTCGATACAGAAAATACCCGAAAAAATAATCATCGGACATTAACTAACATTTCTAACTTTCTTTGGAATTTATATACGCCAACTAATAAAAGATGAACCCGATCACGAGAAGCGAAAAGATTGTATTTCGACTAAACTGTATAAACTCTTAGGCTTCTAAATTAGCCCTTTTAGGCCCGTCGTAAATTCAGTCGTCTTAAAAATTTTGGTGCCCTAACACCAAAATTTTTAAGACGACTGAAATTAGAAACCAATTGGGTCTTCTGTAAACTGCAAGGCCAAATTTGAAAAGTTATTTGCGCTCTTATAACCTAAACATAGTACATTTCAAGAGTAGAATTTCATTGTTAAAAATAATAATTGATCAGGCGAGTACTAAAATCTGAAATATGCAACAAAAAGGTTTAAAAAAAGACTTTTTTTAAATGCTAGCACATTATCTATTCACGAAAGAAAAAGGTCCGCCATGTCGTATTGGGCTTGGGCCGTCAAGCCTAAATCCGCTAGTGGGCACAACGCACGAGGCCGGGACTTCCCCCGCTTAACTCGGACCCGGATAGTCCCCTAGAAGACCATGATCTGGGTGCGCGGCACGGCGGCCAGGTTGTCGTCGATGGTGAGGTACATGTTGAAGGAGAAGAACATTGCGGTGGAGGAGAGGAAGTGCCACACGTCGTGCGAATCGTACAACTGCAGGAGCGAGCACACGCGGTTGTTGCGGCGCGACTCGGCCGGCGTCAGCTGGAACGGACGGCGGGCCGTTTACGACAGAGAGTGAAAGGGATAGATAGCTGTTCACAGACAAGCATAGATGAACACAAAATAAAGTAATTGTTCGTACAGGGCGTGGATGAATTGTACCAGTCTGTCTCGCTCGCACTTTCTTCACTTCTCACGAAACGATGGTAGATTAAAAAAAAGACTATCGATAGATACAATGTATGTTTCTTATGATGACTAAATGATTTTGATTTTCACTTATGGAGCCATAGTGATATGCGTAAAAGTAGGGGTCGGTATGGCTCTTTTAATGATTCAGCATTTCATTCACATCTATTCAACGAAGCATATATCTCAATGTTTTAAACAGTATTTAAGTCATTACTCACCGCCCAGTTCGTGCTGAGGTCCAAATAGAAGTAGCTGGAGCCGAACCACACTGAGTAAGTGAGCGCGATGAATACCCAGCTGAAATAAACATCGACGTAAGCCACTAAATAGGCGCTAGAATCAACTATAGAGACAAAGAATATGCATATTATCCGGCTACAAGGACCATTTTGTTACGCAAAAAGCTAAACCACGATATTTCATAAGCGTGATTGTAATATTGATTTTTTACGCTTTTTTCGTGAAATAATTCGATTTACCTGATGGGAGGTGTTCACCGACGCCGATCACTTTGGCATCGTTTAAAAGGCTACCCCGGCTACCTCACTCACCAGACAAAAGTGTAATACTTCCACGTCACGCCGGTCTTCTGTGAGTTCGTAGGGTACCGTTCGTGCAACAGCGAAAAATGTCGCGTGGCCCCACCGCAGCTCCATATTGGATCATCTTGATGCTTCCATTCAATAAACGAAAAAGTGTAAGGGCGAAAGACGACTTGTCTCACCTGTACCAGCGGATAGACTCTCTGTGCAGAAGTTTCATGGCGATGTAGAACAGGGTGTACAGGAACAGATTGCTCATCAGCACCAGAAGCAGATGCGATGCGAAGTCACGGCCGTGTTGAACTACCCTGTGGGATGAATGTGACATGATACATGTCGCGGTAACAAAGTGATAAACAATGAATATACTCTGAGCTATACGATGAGACTGGCCGCTGCCCGCAACTGCGTCTGCGTAGAATAGGCTGAGGGCGTAACATTCAGACAGAAAGACAGATATACACAAAAATATGAATATGAATTATACCCTATGTGTTTTTCTGATATATAAGCTATATTATTGTAAAGTTTCATTAAAATCCATCCAGTAGTATTTGCGTGAAAGCGTAACAAACATCCATCCATACATACAAACTTTCGCGTTTATAATATTAGTAAGGAAGTAAGGATTGCTCGGTGGCGGATTTGCCAAGCCATTGGGCAGAATTAGATATGGGTTATTATGGGTCTTAAGAGCCGTGATACCTCCAGTGTCCGGGCGCTCGCCTTTAATTCAAAATACTCGAGCAACCTGAGTTCGATCCCCGGTGCCGGCACCAATGAAGTTTTTAACTTTAAGTGCTGAATTATCACGTGCTCAGCGGTGAAGGAAAACATCGTGAGGAAACCTGCATATTTTCGAAATAATAAAAAAAAAAAATATTTCGAATATATGTGAAGTCCGCCAATCCGCAGTGGGGCCGCGTGGTGGACTATGCCCTGATACCCTCTGTATAGAGGAAGCCTTTGCCCAGCAGTGGGACATGTATAGGCTGTTACTTTACTTTTATTATGGGTCTTAAAGTAAAGCATCGGCGTATACTTGTCCCACTTCTGGGCAAAGGCCACCTTTGCTTGAGCATCATGTGATCCCACTGCTGATCGGCGGAATTCCATATCTTCATATTTTTTTTTGTTATTTCGAAAATATGGACGTTTCCTCACGATGTGTTCGTTCACCGCTGAGCATGTGATAAGACAACGCTCAAAATTAACAACAGGTTCCTCGCGTATAATAAACTAGCTATTCGCCGGCGGCTTCGCGTTGAAGCCTTTAAATAAATATTCAATTAAGAAATAGCCTATGTCTTTTCTCAGACTATCTGTGTACCAACTTTCATTTGAATCGCTTCAGTAGTTTTGACGTGAACGCGAGACAGACAGACAGAGTTACTTTCGCATTTACAACATTATAGTATGGATTAGAAGCGACCGGGCATCGTATCCGCTAGTGTACAAGAGATGGTTCCTCACCCGTAAGCGGCTATGGCCCAGTTGGCCAGGTTGGCCAGCAGCAGCAGCACGCAGCGGCCGCAGCGGGCCGGCGTGATGGCGGCCCTTGGGCGGCTCACCAGCTCGCGGGCGGCGCGCCACACCACGGCGCCGTCTGCAACGCTCAGCCACCAGCTCTTCACGTGGCGCCACGCGGCGGCCTCGGCTGCGGAGCCGATGGGCAGCCTCGTCCGGGCGAGAGCCACGAGCTCGCAGAAGTATAATACTTTCGCGTTTCGTCTGGTGTGCGAGCTGGCCGGAGCCCAATTTTCAAATGGTCGTCAACGCATCTGCAACCCTCGGGTGTAGCCGATGTCCATGGGCGGCGGTATTCACTTAACATCAGGCGAACCGTCTGCTCGCTTGGCAACTTTTCACATAAAACTTCGTCTACGCAGGATTAGTATTACGACTAGCTTATTTTCCTCTCCAAGGTCCTATCTATCTTTAAAATCCCGAAATTACTTGAAGAGACCCACGTATCTTTATAAATTATAGCCTACTAGCTTTTCACCCGCGGCTTCGCTCGCGTTAAAGCCCTTAAATAAATATCTTTTTTTTTAACCTTTCAACACTTTACAACACTTTCTCCAATTAAAAAGTAGCCTATGTCCTTTCTCGCTCTAGACTATCTGTGTACCAAATTACATTCAAATCGGTTCAGTAGTTTTGGCGTGAAAGCAAGACAGACAGACAGAGTTATTTTTTCATATACAGCGTGTCGTTACCATCGCGACAATAAATGAACACACGTGTAACGCTACTTGCCAATAATGATAAAACAATATTAACGTTAAAGAAAATCCATAATTAAAAAAAATATTTTTCAAACAAACTAATTAAGTAAAAAAGAAATAAAATTTGTAACATCCTATACAACTCGCGCCACAGCGTCGTATTACAAGCCTCTCCTTCTAACAGTATGTTTTGTCTCTTGTAAATTCATTCATCCCATTCATATGCTTTGTGACCTTTACAAATGAACTTTACGTTACAGTTTTATACGTAAGGATGTTCTAAAATTCTTTGTTTTGTAAAATTTAATAACTCGGTAAATATTGATGTTTAAAGAATGTAAAGGTTTAATACAATTTTAAAAAGTTATCCTCTATATGTGTGTTCATTTATTGTCGCGGTGGTAACGACACGTTGTATAATATTAGTGTGGATGTATTTTGTTGTTTGTTATTATATTATAACAGGTGGGGCCAACCTGCGGCTTTTTGGAGGAATATTTGTGGCGCTCGATTAAATGTCCCCAAGTTGACGGAATTCCACAATAGATTTTTAATTGTCTCCTGATTTTTTTCCTCAACCACTACGACAAACTCGCCTTGAATTATTTTAATAAACAAAGTAAGTGAGATTTTCATTATTATGAACCAAAAAAATCACCTGGAGGATTGAAATTAATAGAGATGCAAGAATATCAAGCTCTACAATTAAATTATGAGTCATGAAATTTCAGCCACCCTCAACGGCAAATATCCCCTCAACTCTTCAGATCCTCCCTTAACCGACCTAGCTAATGTGCACACTCATTGTCTATCAATTTTAATTTCTCATCAAAATTTTAAAACCTAGTCGATTAAAACACCGAAGTGCTTATCTATATATGAAGTAAAAAGCCCCAGATTATACAGGGTGATTTTATAAACGAAGTACATAACTTCGACATTGTGTTGAATATTCCATAATTCAAAAAAATATTAATATTTTATTACCACAACAAATAAACAGAAAAATTTAATTCAAACATCGTTTGTTTACTCCGCTAAGAGTGGTCACCCTATTTATAAGCGGTTAAGTAATTATTCATTCAGCGAAGAGTTTTAGTGCTCATGAATAGGTTATGGTATTGAGACGGTAAGGCGGGAATTTCTAATAGGGTGTCACAATGAGGTCACAAGTACTAATCAGATTCAGATTTAGAATCGATCTATAAAATCACCCTGTATATTCATGTGTCTAACCTAGGAAGTGAGAAAAAGACTAAACCAGTTACCCAGCCGGAATCTGCCCAGGTAGTAGATCTGGAAGGTCATCACCAGGCACGTGACGAGATGGAGCACCGTAAACGCCACCCAGAAGTAGAAGTTGGCGTTAAGAACACCCACCAGACCTGAGGGTAACAGATGAGATTTACGGAGTATGGCGAAAACTGGCATTTATTTAATTATCAAGTTTCACATTAGGAAATGAAACCACCACTTCAACTTGCCAACTTGACCTTGGCAAGTTGAAGAGGCTGTGAATGGATTCTGGCGCCACACCCTTGTGGTTTATGTCCAGGGGCTGTTCCACCACCCACCGAGGAAGATGATGAGCGCCAGCACCCCGAAGGTGGCGTGGGCGCGCGCGTTGATGTCCGGATGCCGCGACTGATAGATCTTCACCATGCACAGCACCGCCGTCACGTACATGAACGACGTGTCTGTGGGGGAAATGGCGGCATAACTGATGATGAATGGTGAATATATTTATATTTTATCTATTGCTTCTGGTTATCCTGGTTATTGAGCCGTGATAGCTCAGTGTCCGGGCGCTCGCCTTTAATTCAATATAATCGAGCAACCTGAGTTGGATCCCCGGTGCCGGCACCAATGAAGTTTTTAACTTTAAGTGCTGAATTGTCACGTGCTCCGCGGTGAAGGAAAACATCGTGAGGAAACCTGCATATTTTTGAAATAATAACAAAAAAAATACATATTTCGAAAATATGTGAAGTCCGCCAATCCGCAGTGGGGCCACGTGGTGGACTATGCCCTGATACCCTCTGTATAGAGGCCTTTGCCCAGTAGTGGGACATGTATAGGCTGTTACTTTACTTTACTTTTTTTTGGTTATTACTTCAATGTACGCCCTTTTTTATACGAACTAGCGGTTCACCTATTATGTTTATTCACTTAACATAAGTGAATACTGCCGCCTATGAACAGTTGTAACACCGGCTGCGAATTTTAATAATTCATTCATGTTGAATGGTATAATACTAAAAGGAAAAATGTTATGAACGAGATTTCCGCAAGGTTTTTACTATCACCAATACATTATTGAATCACCATATTAATGGTTTGAAACGAAATAGCGTATTTCAGTGACTTAAATATATTTAGCACTTAAGCCGTCCACCGAAACATGTTTGTTAGAAAGCGCGGTGCGAAGTAGAGTAGGTGGTTCGTAACTTTACTACTAATACTGAGATATGAGCTATACACATCCCACTGCTTAGCAAAGGCGTGCTCGGTAGAAAGTTTTCTACTAATAGTAAATAATGTGTCATCTTGAGTGCAGAGATTAGCACTTCGACTGCAGCTGCAGCCGGTGGCTGAACAAACTGGAGTATGAATGATAAACTAGGATCGGGGACAGAACGAATGAATGTAAACCGGGATCGGTGACTGAACGAATGAATAATAACCAGGATCGGTGATGGAAATAAGGACCAGTTACTGACCGAACTGGAAGTTCATGCTGTTGGGGCAGACGTGGTACGCGGCGGAGAGCAGACCCTCGCTGACCAGCGCCACCCCCATCGCGTACAGCAGCCCGAAGTGCTGCGGGATGCCCAGCTCCTTCTGCGAACGGCGCTTCTTGTTAAGGGAGGTGGGTGGTGATTGAGGGCTTCTTGGTTAGGGAGGTGGGTGGTAGTGAGTGCTGCTGTGGTGGGGCCATGCAACAGATTCCGCTGTTGCACGAACGGGCAGGTCCTCACAGAAGCCCGGCGTTAGGCGGGAGGGTTACACTTCTGCGATTCGTTTGGTGAGTGAGGTAGTCGGGGCCCGCTTTATTGAAAGGTGGCAACGCGTCTGCAACCCTAGGGATGTTGTATGGTCCATGGACGGCGGTAATTACTTAACATCAGGTGAACCAGCTTGCCACGTCCGCATATAAAAAATCGGGGAAACTCAGAGCTTCGCAAAGCGTACAGCATAGGAGTTTCAATGCATCAATTGCTTACATCCGATTCTAATGTGCTTTCAAGGCAATGCCTTACTATCCAATTGACCAGCAGGTTATTTCAATAGAGATATTTTGAATTTTAAAATTGGTGAACACGGTATTGAGCTATGGTGTGGTAATGGGACTACACTAGATGAAAACGGTATTGAGGTATGGCATGGTAGTGTATGTATGGTATGGTAATGAGGCATCGGTCACCTCGTGGGGCGAGTGGTGGCGGTGGCGCTGGTGGCGGCGCCACACCTGCACCAGGAACAGCGCGCCGAGCAGCACGTAGCCCAGGTTCGAGTACACGTGGTTGAAGTCGGACAGCACCATCAGCGGGTGGGCGCACAGGAAGTTGAAGTAGCACAGGTCCTGGTTGCCCGACTGGTTCAACAACTAGTGGGGGAGCACGACAAGATTTTCATCATAAACATCGCCTTAACTGTAAGATATGTATTATAACATTCTTCTGTGTTGTAAGCGTTTTACAGACGCAAATCTCACGTGACCAAACGATTATGAAAACGAACCGATTATCTGTGGATAAATGAAAAACTAGCACAAATAATTGTGCCGTGTGATAATCTAACACACGATCTCTACCTTCGTTCTATTGCATTTTTAACAATGCCAGGCGCCATCTAGTGTGCATCCTTTACAGCATACAACACTATACAAGTAACATTGAACGATGAATATTTGTAACGAGAGATTCCGGCGTTACTCTTAATTTTTTTTAAGATTAATTTATATAGTTTGCAGTGCTAGTCTCCGCACTCAAGATGATACTTTTTTTTTTTGTAGATAAATAAAAAAAACCTTCTACGCTGCGGGGTTCGAACCTGCTTCCTCTAGTTTCGCGCCCAGGCGCTTTATCAACTAAGCTAAGTGGCCGATGACCGACTCGACACGACGTGTGGATGACTATGCCCCAATACCTCTCTGCACAGAGGAGGCCTTTGCCCAGCAGTGGTACATTCGCACCTTTAGAGTTATAGTGACCTATTTAAAAAATGCCAATTTTTGGAAAACGTTAAATAAATATTTGTGCACTTGTGAACAAACGCGGTGACTGGATGGGAGTGAAAGAGACCGAAGTGTACGTCTTCCTAAAATCGGCCCTTGTTTTAATAAGACTCGAAAAAGGTAGTCGTTTCAGGTCGTCTCCTGACAAAGTCAAACTCATAACTTTCTTACTTGGATCCCTTTGATTCTAAAGGTGCCATTTACTGGCCGTTACTTATTTCGCATTGGAAATGGCGACCCACCCGCTGGTAGGTGACGACGAGTTGCACCACAGGTAAGGTGTAGAAGACCGCAACGGTGAGGACGTTCCACAGATACATCTTGGAGCGAGCGGAGAGCACGCGCGGTCGGCACCTGCACAGCGTCCGATCAGTGCAAGATCGTGCTCTTTCAAGCTGGTGGATCGTTGGTGGGGATGTCGAGAAAATATCGATATATCGATATTTTTCATTTTTTATATCGATATCATCGGCCCATATATTCGGATCCTAGTATATTATACCCTTTCGGAATACCTCGACGACGCCAATGTGTGGAGTTAATACTGTTGATACTCACGTAGGCTAGAATAAGACTATTATACCTGTTTATTATATTGTAAATTATTGATACTTTTGAAAAAGAGCAACTGTTGAGTTTCTTGCCGGTCTCTTCTCAACAGAAACCGCTTTCCGAACCGGTGGTACCTCACGAACCTATACACATAATCTTTGATGTAAAATTTGACGACTCATAAGAGCGCGCAAGCGTCTATTTGAATAAATATATTTTTGATTTTGATTTTGATTTTGATTTTGATCCCATATGAAAAATATCGATATATCGATCGATATACCGATATCTTTTATTTTATATGTATATAGATATTTTCAGCCGACATATTCCGATATATCGATATAACGGAACATCGACATTCATCGAAGATCGTATTAAAAACGATATTTTTTCAAATTCAAATACGGCCCAGAGTCCGTAAGGGTCAAATATTTAATACTTGACATATTTTTTTTTTTTTTTTTTTGGAAAACGGGGCCTAAAGAGAATATATCGATATTTTCTCTTCGATATATCAAAGCCGTTATTATTAAATGACAGACTCAGTCGGTCCTGTGAGCATGAACGCTGGAAAATCCGTAAAATAGTTTCATTTAATAATGTATAACATTTGCGTAATAACAAGAAATTAATAGAGCCGATATTGATATTTTTATAATTATCGGTATATCGATGTACTTCTTCACTTTCGACATCCCTATCGTTTGTACTGTGGTATTTATTATACAGGGTAATTTAATTTGGACGAAGTACATACTTTGACACAATGTTGAATGAGTATTTCATAATACACATTTAGAATCAAGTTCTGAATATTATGCTCTGTTAATATGTCCGTCGTCTATAAAATCACCCTTTATATTATATTTTGTGCAAAGGGGTTAGGTAGTAGGTCCCAACGACCTAAGCCCGGTTCCTATATTCAACGAACGACCGTTAGTTACATAGCTTCGTTACTTTCATAACGACCTGTAGATAAAATCGTGTTCTCCCGGTTCCTATATTAACAAAACGAGGCGATGCATCACCTACGGAAAGTGAGTTACTAGCGTTCCTTTAATCTACAAGACGTTAGGAAAGTTACGGAGCTATGAAACTAACGGCCTTTCGTCGAATATAGGAACCGGGCTCTAGAAAGATCTATTGTAGTCTTCCCTTCGAAAACATTGCATCCTTACTGTAGGATAACATGATCCGGTTGTAATTATACACACTTATTTAGGTATAAAATCAGCAGCAGCCAGGGGTCTTGCAAGTGCAGAGCAAGAGTCATTTCCAAACATCCTTGTCCTCAATGTATTCTTGGATATTATAGTATGCCCTTGCCATTAAGGTAGCTTTTACAAATTGTTAAAATTTGTTTACACTTAGCTCTTTGTTGATGTCACTTGTTTTATTAAAAAGTTGATGCATCTTCCCAGAAACGACTTTCTGGTTTTAGCCAATCTAAACCTCGGTACTTCCAGAGTGTCACCACGGCCCCGACGCGATGTGGATTGTTTTTTCGTAAATAGGTGGATATTCTTACGTACATACATCATGTTCTCAAGTATGTAAAGCGACGGGAGCGTCAAAACGTTATTTGCTTAAATATATGCGTAGTGACTCACATGGACCCAAGCCATAGACGGCCCGTATAGCCTGCTTTTGTAATACAAATATCGTGTCTAAACCGGATGAACCCCGGAACACCATAGGACAATGCTGTGAAAAGACATAATAACCATAGGACATTTTATGCTGTGAAAAAAGCATAATAAATTCCAAGAAATTTAGCTGTAGGATTTTCCTCGTTAGTTAGCTGCCTTTGATTTTGCGTATGGCAAAGACGGCAGCGCTCAATTTCTTAGCTAACTTATCTACATGAAATCCCCATTGCAACTTGGAGTCAACGCTTATTCCAAGAAATGAGAATAAGAATCCTCAAGGGGTAGGATTTTCTCATCAATAGAGATTCCTGATTGGTTTAAAATTTTATATTTGTTAAAATGAACTATCATTTGATCCAGCATTATTTTCTCAAACACTTTGCTTAAGGCCGGCAACATAGAGATAGGACGGTAATTAGAGGCATTATCTCTCGAACCCGATTTATATACTGGCACAACTTTACTATATTTCAATAACTTTGGGAATTTGCTACTGTCTAAACAAGTATTAAATATTTGAGCTAATGTGTAAGCAATGTTATAGATTATAAGATCAATTGCCCATATTGATAAGCCCCATAAGTCTTCTGTTTTCTTTTTATTTAGATTTTTAAATGTTTTAATAATATCATTCGGGCATATATGACAAAATTTAAAATCTGGAATAGAAATATTAACATATTTATCGAGATATGATACTACCTCTGTGGGACAGTGTTGCAAATGTCTAGTAGTTTCACAAGGTATATTTGTGAAAACATTAAGAAACTCTGAAAACATTAAGAAACTCAAGAAACTCAGTGGGATATGTATAGGCTGATACTTTATCTGGATAAGCCTCACCTGGACAGATTCGCCACGCAGAGTTTAGCCCCTGGCAGATAGTCGCCCTGTTCCCGTATAGCGTTGTCACCGAAATCGTCAGACTCTGTGTCCGACATGGAACTGTGGTCTGCGGGGTGCAAATTTCCTATTAGGTAGCGTCCATTAATCACGTGAGGGCCTGAAATATGTCATTTGAGATATTGTTTTCGATGAACGCAGGCGTTCATAACCTTAATTTACTTTAATAAATTTACTTTAATCGTGTACGAGGGATTCCGTGCCATTATCTATGAAAACGACGAAAAAATCGTATCTGGTGGTGGGAGGCCCGCTTAATTTTTTTTTATTCTTTAGCGGCAACAGAAATACGTCATCGGTGACGACCTCAACTGTCCATCACGGCTCATGAGTCATCGGCATGGTTAAAGACGTACAGACAAAGCAACAAGTGTCTAAGTAATACGGTGCCGTTTATGGAACCCCAAAAAGTATTTCCGGACATTTTCGTCACGGTTTTTAATTTACCCGAATTAAATTTGATTATAGATATACCTGTATTAGACACTCGTCTTATGGATACAACTACAAAGATAACAATTACAATGTTACTAAACTTGCTTTTAGACAAAGGATCACTAGGAAAGTCCATCGATTTCATTAAGGGGAAACTTTTTAATCATGGGATGCTTAGAGATTAGGACGGAGGATGAGGCTGTCTTCTCCGGTGTCGACTCACCCGTGGTGCCAGCGGAGCGGCCGTTGCCAGAGCTGCCAGCCGTGCCAACCGAAGCGTTGATGGCGCGACGCCGCCGCGCCAGAGGCCGCCGCCGACTGCCAGACACCTGGCCTTCTGCCAACCGAGACGGAATACCACTGCGTTCTTTTATTAAACTTAGCGAGAAATATTGAAAAAAATCGTGATATTGCATTATTTTTTTTACATTTATTTTTTTTTTCATTAAACACCCTTTTTCAGAAAAAAACTCCTATTGGGCGCTAGTTTTTTTTTTTTTGTAAGTATTTTTATTCTGTATTAAAGTAGCTTCGAAAAGGTGAGTAAACGATGTCTCTATCGAAAAAATAACATTTTCTACTCGTCTTTTCGGTTCCACTAAGACTTTAGGCTCCAAACGAAACTCACCTTCACTCTGACTGCTCTCCGTTGAGGAGTCCCTGCTCTTCTTCCTCTGGCACAGAACCGCGATGATGAACGCCACGTAGAAGGAGAGGAAGAACGCCAATGCGGCACCAGCCGCTATCATATACTCCTGGTAGGATATCGTCTGGATTATCTTGAAGCTGCGATTAAAACAGTCATTAAAAAACTTACTGATTATAGACTAACATCATACTTTATCGGTGACGATGCAGTCTTCTTTGGTGAACGTATTTGTAACTAGCTGTGCCCGCGGCTTCGCTCGCGTTGAAGCCCTTAAATAAATATCTTTTTTTTTTTTAATAGTAAAAATCCTATGTCCTTTTTAATACCTCTAAAATATGTGTACCAAGTTTCATGATAATTGGTTGAGCAGTTTTGGAGTGAAAGCGTAATAAACAAACTTACATTCACATTTATAGTATTACTAGCTGCTGCCCGCGACTACGTCTGCGTAGAATAGGCTGAAGGCGTAACATTCAGACAGAAACGACAGATATACATAAAAAAGTATATAAATTATAGCCTATGTCTTATTCTGATGTATAAGATATATTATTCTAAAGTTTCATTAAAATCCATTCAGTAGTATTTGCGTGAAAGAGTGACAAACATCCATCCATACATACAAACTTTCGCCTTTATAATATTAGTAAGGATTAGGGATAGCTAACTTGAAATTAATTAGTGTGTTTAGCTCACCTCCTCAAGTGATAATAGTTTAGAAGACCGGCGTGCATTGGAAGTGTGATACTTCTGCGTTTCGTCTGGTGAGTGAGGTAGCCAGGGCTCACTTTAGTATAAGTGGGCCCTGTAGCCACGCATCTGTAACCCTGAGGATATTGCAAATGTATGAAAGATACTAAGCTATGTAACTAACGGCCGTTCGTTGAATGTAGGAACCGGGCATTAGTCGCATTTCACGACAGGCAGGGGATACCTCAGCCCTATGGAGGTTCGGGCCTGGATAGAACGAGGAACCCACCGGAATTCCTTGAGGCGGGAGTCCTGTCCCGATGGGCTCAACGCCTCGTCCCAGCCGAGGAGGCGAGCGACGCGCGGAATAGACGCGTTGCCAGTAGACGCGGTGCAGTCCTCGTCGGAGGTCTTCACGATGAACACGATGTAGAAGCCCAGCGGGAACGTGTCTTGCTGGATTCGGGACATTCAACGCCTTCTTCATCGTACAAGCCAAGCTCAAGCTAGCAGAACGGCGAGCGGTACCGTGTGTAATATATGTGGAACGAACCATTTGGTGGCACATCCTCATAACTTAAAGACCATTCCACATAAACGCGTCAAATCGGAATAGGAAATCACAGCTTTAGAACTTGCGAAGCTTGAATGATATAACTGACGTTCAAGATTTTAAAACGATCGACTATTTGAATTTGATTATTTCAATGGTAACACATTCTGGAAATGAGTAGGTCGCTCTAGGCTCTTTCAAGTGGACTATAATGCAGTTTCAATATCAAATAACGATAAAAAAATTATCCCGCTGAGTTTCTTCCGCCAGTTCGTTTCAGAGTTAGTGGCTTTTCTTTTCCGAACCGGTAACTAGTGGTGTTTCGACAATTAATAAGTGAGTATAATGCTCCTATATTGAAAAAAGATATATGAAATTTGAATTTCACCATCTCTGGGTTGTCACAAGGTTGCGTTCTCGGACCTCTGCATTATATGTTACTCTAAACAAAGGAAAGTCAGCGCTTTACCGAGAAAATAAATGAAAATCACTCACGGTCAATGTTATACCACCGCGCCTCGTCATCGTCAAGTAGTACCCGTCGTAAAGGATATCCCTTTCGTTGTCGAAGACCGGGCACTGTGAACAATGAACGAATGGGATCGAACATAAAGAAACGGTTTAAATAATATATAAATATTAATATTAAATATAAATTGGCTTAATTAATAACACAAATCTTCTGCTGTCATGATTCTACGACAAATGTAGCTAAATGTTAAATCGAAATAGAGAGTCGTGCAACAGATAACAAAAGTGACATTAGGATTGTTGGATATAACACAGCACTAAAATTCCAACCAAACACCTCCAGCGATAATAGACTTAAGTAGTCTATTATCTCTGGAGGTGTCATCAGACTGTCTTATATAATTCAAAAGATTAGGGGGAATTGAGCTTTATTTTAAGCACATATCACATATATTAAACCTGCTGAAAATAGAACCGGTAACAATTTCTATACTCAATGAAATATACTTTTTTTTCCTTTCATGATACGATGTGATCATAATATAATGACATAAGCAGCAATATCACTTTGGGGGCGCAGTGAAAGCATAAAAAAGGCCTTATCCTTTTCGTTTTTTATTTTAGGGTTCCAATACCTTCACCACTACACGAACAAAGTAATGGCTGTAAATAATTTCAATTATTTTTTAAAAGCTGGAAAGGGTCTATTATAATGACTAAGAATACATTGATGACAAGGATGTGTGGGAATCTTGGTCTGCACTTGCAAGTCCCCTGGCTGCTGCTGATTTTATAGCTAAACAATTTTTTATACATAAAAGTAAAGTAAAGTAACAGCCTATACATGTCCCACTGCTGGGCAAAGGCCTCCTCTATACAGAGTATCAGGGCATAGTCCACCACGCGGCCCTACTGCGGATTGGCGGACTTCACATATCTTCGAAAAATATATATTTTTTTGTTATTATTTTCGAAAATATGCCGGTTTCCTCACGATGTTTTCCTTCACAGCGGAGCACGTGATAAGTCAGCACTTAAAGTTAAAAACTTCATTGGTGCCGGCACCGGGGATCGAACTCAGGTTGCTCGAGTATATTGAATTAAAGGCGAGCGCCCGGACACTGAGCTATCACGGCTCTCATTTATACATACATCATTGAAAAAAGATAAGACTACAGTGGTTCATGCCGGTTCTTCTCTAGCCAGGTCTTGTTTAGTGAAGCCGTGGTAGTTTATAGATGTTCAATAAGAGCTTAAAGCAAGCCTATATTGAATAAAGAAAATTTGACTTCGACTTTGGCTTGTTAGCTTACCGAGAAGTTCTGAATGGAGACGACGGCGCAGATGTCGTCGTCCGACTCTATCATGAGGATCACGCTCTTCGGCCTCGAGAACCAGCCGTAGTTCTGCTCCAGGTTGCTCTGGACGAAGTATCTGTCCAGGGTCCTCCGCTCCGCTTCGTCCAGCTCCTTGTTGCAAACGTGCTTGCGCTTGATGCTCTGCGCCCGCAGATCGACCATTCTGTTCGGGCCCTGGTCGAAGGGGTAGAAGTAATACTTGGGCTGGCTGGGCGTGCTGGTCAGGTTGGTCGGCTTGTTGAGCTTTATGTAGAAGTCCTGGACGGTCTCGACCATTATCGTGACCATTATCGGGTCGGGGGAGGAAGACGTGAGGTGGACTATCGGCGTGTTCAACGACGACACGTCTGGAATGAAAATTCCCGCGTCAACCAGGGTGACGTGCACATTAGCAATTAATGACTAACGAAAAAGAGTATTGACGGCATATAGCTTTCCGAAGTTATATGAAGACAATATATTTCAGCAGTGAATGGGACACTTCAAATCCTCAGCATGCTCGGCTACAGACGCAAATACACACCAGTTCCAGGGTTCCATTTCTAGCTGGTATGATAACAGATACCATTGCCTGGAGAATGGTCTGAGCGGTATTTTGGGTGAAAAGTTGGAAAACGAGAGGGCGGTTCGCCTGATGTTAAGTGATTACCGCCAACCATGAACGTCTACAGCTGATGGGTTGGATGCATTCTCAACGATTAAAATGTCAGGGCCGGTTACCTCCCTAATTTCAAGAACGCCAAAGTAAAATACTTTCATTTCGCGACGGTATTCTGTGAGGCCGACTAAAAATGCTGCGTGACCCTATCAAAATTTCTCGAACATTCTTTGCATTTTCTAACGCATCTCATTTACACACATACATGACATATAATGGACATACTTTAGTATGGTCTCATTACACGGTCTTGTGCAAATAGGGAACGGGAACTTATCTCAACCGAGTCATCTAACCAACTAATAGGGAATAGGGTCATAGACAGTCTTTGCTTAACTCAACACCTGGATAATTAGGTGATGATCTGAGGTCCCACATTCGAATCCCAACAGGTTGCACCAATTCGAGTAGTCAATCATTTTCTAGCACTATTAGTATCAGCTATGCTATCTCTATTTCATCATAGCTAGACCCAGAAAGCACTAGCTTTCTGTCTGCTTTTATAGGTGACGTGGGTGGTTGTCGTAGCAATACGGTGGGACGCGGATAGACATAATTGAAGTCGTATTTACGTATTAAGGGACCACAGTAGACCGTTATGCTGTCTCCACTCACTAAGAAGGCGTGAACAGAAAGAAACAACATGGTTAACAGCTCGCAAACCTATTTAACACTTTTATTTACACTCACAGCTTTTTCAATAGACAAGCCATGTGGACCTTTGTAAATTTTCTGTATGTTGTTTGCCTTAACAAACAACACGGAAAAATATCACATGCGGTTCTTTGTGAATTTCTATCATACAACACAAGAACAAAGTACAGGAAACAATACAAAAGAACATTACATCATTTTATGAGTAATAAAGAATAGATATGAGGGTCTATGACTAATTCAGCACCATTGTCTCACTCTCTATAAGAAACTACAGAAAACAATCTATTTAAGGTCTAAAGGATTCTGCTCATCTCATGATACTGAAAAGGCTATCATAATGTCGCACAAACAAAGAATGAAATAAACCCACAGTAAGATATTTTCAATATTAAAGATACTTGAATAAATAATGACACACATCATCATTTCAGCCTGTTTGAGACCACAGACTGCTACCAAGCATGATCCTGAACCACCTGCATCCATCAACTTGCCATAAACTTGCACAGGTTGTTACTCCATCTAGTGGGGGCATATCGCAAAACAAAAATGTAAAATAAAGGCCAACCGTGTAGTCAATCTCACCGCAAGTGTCCTCATCTTCAGAGAATATGTTGTTGTGTGGACATAGGGTCCTGGAGATGTTGGTGAATTGCTCCAGGCTGACTGGGGTCTGTACCAGCATCGGGAGCTGCCACGAGAACACCCCTAGCATTCAAAAACAAAAGAAAAAGTAACATATAAGGCCGTAATTGCATCAGTTGTACAGTACGTTTAAAATACAATAACCCATTCTGAAAAGGCAGTTTCATGCCTTTAAAACATCTTTATAAAATTTCATATGTCACATTTCCATTGAGTGCCCTCTATTTATCTAAATCTATTAATTATATGAATCACATTTAGGCTTGGGTTTAGTCATGTTTATTATATGTTTATTTGATTTGAATAATATTCAATATGTTTATTTTTTTTATACACACCTTTGTTGAAAGTGAAGGTTTTGCTGTGTGATACAATAATTTTTTTTAATGATCAAAGCGGCAAGTAGTATCAATTGCTTCCTAATACACCTTTGGGATTGCAGGTGTGTTGCCATCTTATAATAAAGGATTGATACCCATAGGATTGCAATGTGTTGCTACCATTTAATAAAGTGTGCCCCGGCTACCGCACTGAACAGACGAAATGAGGCAATATAACACTCCCACTTCACGGGCGTCTTCTGTGAGGTCGTGGTACTTACTCGGGCGGACCAGCCCATTCGTGAAACAGCCTATTGCGTGACCGAACCACAGTTGAGCAACTATTTGTTGGGTATATAAATACGTGTCCCTACGGACTTGAAACCACAGATTCCAATAGGATTAAATTGCTTCAGGAAGAACCACACGTTTTGTACTGGCTTTTATTAATACTACAGAGGCAAACCTTTCTGTTGTCTTGCCGTTATAAACAGAGGGTAGGTGCGGTTGGCAAAGTCACTGGCCACAGTAACGCGGGCTGGAGTATCGTAGACATCTTGATCCTAGACAATTAGAAAAAAAACATTATGTTGTAGTCGTTAAAAACACAACAGATTTACATTTAAAACTTTACCTAAATAGTATTTTAATTATGATGTATATTTACATAAACAAATTATAAAAGGACAAATAATCTGATAAGCCTATCACTTAATAACTGTACCGACCTAGTAATCAAAGAGCGCTTCAATATATATACAGCGTGTCGTTACCATCGCGACAATAAATGAACACACATATAGGGGATAACTTTTTAAAGTTGTATTAAACATTTAAATTCTTTAAACATCGATATTTACAGAGTTATTAAATTTTCCAAAACAATGAATTTTAGAACACCCTTACCTATAAAAGCGTAATGTAAAGTTCATTTCTAAAGGTCACAAAGCATATGAATGGGTTGAATGAATTTAAAAAAGACAAAACATACTGTTAGGAGAGGCTTGTAATGCGACGCTGTGGCGCGAGTTGTATAGGATGTTACAAATTTTGTTTCTTTTTTACTTAATTAGTTTGTTTGAAAAATATTTTTTTTTAATTATGGATTTTGTTTAACGTTAATATTTTTTTATGATTATTGGCAAGTAGCGTTAGACGTGTGTTCATTTATTGTCGCGATGGTAACGACACGCTGTATATATATATGTACTGAAACTTTATTTAAAAATTAAAAGGTCTCACCCCAGCAAACTCCATTATGTACTCAGTGTTTTTACTGACATATACCACATATGGTACATTGTACATGTACCTGGAAGAAAATGAAGATTTTTATAGCATTTTTAAATGGCACACCACCACTGCTGCTCTGATCTGTCATTCAGAGCTATCCATGTAGTCATAAGAAACTTTGGTATGTTGCTTTAGCATTTTGATACTATAAAAAAAATTCAAGCCAAATGGTGTAAACAACTGAAGTAATAGTATCGACAACATTTTTGATTATATGCTTGTCATATAATCAAAGAACAAGATTAATCTACACATCCATACAGATAAATATAAACTCTAGTGCCTGTTTGTAGTATTAAAATAAACACTTTTTATTAAATACGAATGGATGTATACATGGTACAAATTCCAAATTAACCTTAGTTTTAAGTTTTTTATTATGTTTTGTCACAAATATTTATTATTTGTCACTTTTATAGTATGTACCATCAATTTACTTGTTTTTTTCTTATATAACTTGCTGTCGTCGCATACTTGGAATGTCAGCTGAATGTTAATAATATTGTCTTTGTATTATTATTTAAATACGTTGTCATTCTGCTTTGTGATGCTACAAATAAATAAATAAATAAATAAACCGTTTTTGTTTTAAATTTTTGTCTGTGTGTTCAGGCTAATCTCTGAAATGGCTGGACTGATTATGAGGAGACTTTCACTGGCAGATACCTTATGTAATAAAGTAAGGTGTAACTTAACCTACTTTTATTTTAGAAATTTTACTTATTTTAAATTGCACGCAGACGAAGTCGCAGGCTCAGCTAGTACCGAAATAACTTTATTTACAATTTTTGTCTATATTTATGTCTGTTTGTTCTGGCTAATCTGTGAAACATCCGGACCTATTTTAACAGGACTTTCACTGGCAGATAGCTGATTTAATAAGGAGTAACTTGGGCCACTTTTATCTTTAGAATTTAATTTATTTTTAAATTGTATGTGAACGAACTCGCGGGCACAGCTAGTTAACTATAAAGGACAAAAGAGATTGGCTGAATGCTGCAGAGAAAAGGGTAACAACTTATTAAGATAAGATACTAACAACTTGAGTATATACTTGTATAGCAATGTTCCCTTAATGACTATAATCAGTTTTCAATGAGTTCAAGCACTTTCATTGTATTGTTATTATTACATCCACATAAATTACTCATCACTTGCATGTAGTTCATATAATGAGCATATTCATTATAATAGGAAAGTTCTGCTAATGCATCGGTTTAAAGAAGTTTATTTCTTATAAAAACTGTAACAGTTTGTTTAAAATAAGATTTAAATTTATATTTCATTATCAAATATTGTGTTTACACTTCTGGCAAATGCATTTTTAAAAAAATTATAAAATACATTATTATCATTTTTGCATTAAAATGAAATTTAAATTCCTACTGTTTTGAATACTATGCAGCATTCAAGGCCATGGTATGTACTACTGCAAAGTGGAAGTTTTAGTTTAAAACACAATATAATGCATAAAAATAGTTTCAAATTTATTACATTTTACTGTACTGGAGCATAATTATGTTCAGGTCTGACCAGGGAAGTATAGCATCCTTATAGTACAATGTTTGCTCTATTAATCCATGTTTATACTTTTACATTTTGTCTGGTGACTGAGAACTGGTGGTCCCTTTATATCTGGAGCTCACTAGGATTTGCACTGATGTTACTGATGTCCATGGGTGGTAATCACTTACCAGCAGATGAATTTCTTGCTAATTTAACACATTCCAACACACTTGCAGTGATTTCTCTAGCTCAAACATAAAATCAGATACAAAGAATTTATTGATACTTCTCAATGAATTAACATACTCAATTATTGCATTTAATAAAGTCGAAAGATGGAAATCTTATAATAAGCCAGTATTAGGTTTAAGCCCGCATCTATAAGATCACCATTGGTTCCACCATGGATTGTCAATATTCTCACTCACATTTAAATAAAAGTTGTAAAATAAATTAGCTAAATTTGATAATATATTTTATTTGTAGATGTGATGCAAGCAGCGACTTTAGGAAATACCCACATCCTTCTGATAAGAGATATCATCAACAATGTAATAGTGTGTATCAAAAAAATCTATCTACTGTAGTACTTTAGTGCTAACAATTCACTGTTGAATAATAAAAAAATAAATGTATTAAATTTTCAACTTCTAATGTGAAACATGTAGAAACTGAAGTACTTTTATGGGGACCCTATTGACTCAACTCTATTCCTTAGCGTAACTATTGACTGTTGCTTCTCAGTACATCCTTGAAAATGTTACGTATGTCCATAAAAATAGTTTGAATTTTCAAGACATAATGCTCATGATATATATACTATGAACAAACATAAATTGATCATAGACACAAGTAGACAGCGTAGAATAAGTAAATCTTTTATGGGACAATGTATTCATTTCTACAACAAAATCCTAGAAAACTTTCCAAATATATCAATGGCTAAATTTAAAAAAAATTATCGAAATTAATTGACCAGGCTCATTCAATTGGACTTTTTATATTGTATTTGATATATTCATGTCACACGATGGTTGTATGTAAAGAAATGGAAAAAAGTACTCCGCTGGGTTTCTTTCGCTGTTTCTTCTTAGGTCAGTGGCTTTTTTTCCAAACCGGTGTTAGCATTTTAACTATCAGGATGTCTATTGTATATGTCAATATATAATATTTTTATACTTTAACTACGCAACCAATACTAAATGATACACTATCATTAATAATAGAAAGATATTAATCAAAGTAGTTTGGGCCAGCTGTCATAGGCCTCATAGCATAGGGCAACTTGATAATAGAAATTGTTATCTCTGCAAGTGTTTAAATCATTAGCATGGAAATGAGATAAGCACAGGAATACATTGTAGACATAATTTGCGGTAACTTAAAAGTAAATACAAAAATTCAAATATGTGTATGATAGATTCAGTAGTCTAGTTAGTTTCACACAATATTAATAATATAAAATATTATTCATTAGTTTTGTTTTATATATATTTGTTCGTAACAATATGAGTGCGTTAATGATGTATTGTAATTTGTAATTAATCTGTTTTTATAAATTGTGTCAGAAATTGTAATTATGATTTAGGAACCAAAATATGTTAAGCAATCGAAGTAAAATTTTTATTAAATAACAGAATTAGTACTTACGTATTATTGTAATGAAATATTATACCATCCCCTTTAATTTGCTGGCAAATAACAAAAGGTTTGCATATAATTATTAAACAAAGCTTTATTAACAGTAGTCCACCCATAATTTTTAAATTAGTTTAAATTAAAATATTAAGAAGAAATATGTTCATTGTTTTAATATTTGCTTAACTTATTCATATCCCACAAAATGTGAAACCAATATTCAGAAAAAATAGAGGAAATTTAACAAATTAACAATGTTATGAAGACAATGGCCTAGGACGTTTATCTGTTTAGTGTTGTTAGTGTTTCTCTTTCTGTTTTGTGAAGTGAACTGTGTTACCAACTTTCGAAAATATTTGTCCCTAAAGCTTAAGTAAAAAAAGACCTATAATTCCCATAATAAAATTATATTATTATTGCTTTCTTTATTTATCCTACGAATGCTATTGACGCGTTTTGGCGGACACTTTATGCGTACTTTCCATAGTTCAACTCCACATTCTTAGTAATGAAAAATCGTACTAAATGTCGCTAAGCCACGAGATCGACATTTAAATATGATAGGGTTGATTGAGTTTTCCCAGGCTCTTTATTTCTATACCTTTATTTTTCTTAATAAAAAAATAAGAAATAGAACGTAGAAAAAATATATGAAGTCAAAAAAAATCACTCATATTTGCTCCACTTACTACACACACTTACTTTGTCTAACACCAATACCGACAAAATGAATTGGTGACATAACTTGGTCCGGTTTAATTCATGTTATTATTATGTACTAGTTGTTATCCACGGCATGACCCGCGCGACCAAAGGAAATTAACAATGCGCTTTTTATTATACACTACTTAGACCTGATACTTATCATTACCTATATTTTTGTACAATTTATGCAATATCTTTATTTATTTTAGCCTATGTGTTATTCTGATGTATAAGCTAAATTATTGTAAAGTTTTATTAAAATCTATTCAGCAGTTTTTGTGTGAAAGAGTAACAAACATCCATCCATACTTATAAACTTTCGCCTTTAAAATAGTAGTAAAGATTTTATAGAGCTGTTTTAAGATGAAATTCAATTTCGCTCAAAAATTCATCGCATTTACGAACTGGACTCGAGCGAAGAAAGTACCTAATGATACAAGAACATGAAGTTCAAAAAAATAAGGGCAATAATCAAATTTAATAAAACGTACAAGTTATAAAACAAGGTTCTAAAGTTAATATTAACAAGGGGCCTATAGATAAGACATATATATTGAAATAAGACATATAACTGAAGGGGCCTGCGAAGTAAAGTGAATCGCACAGATCAATCGGATAACGTTACTGCCTGGATAGAATTATGTTTAGCATTGATACAAAGTAGATCCTAAAAAAAATACTATAAAATATTAGAAATATGTATTCGGAGATTTTATTATGATTTTAAATACTGATATTTTATTATTCATTACACAGTGATACGTAGTGAAATATTTCAAAATCAATCAATCTTTTTGAATGTGTATCTAATTGAATTAAAATAATGATATAATTGAACTTAAAAATACAAAATTTTAAGAAATATAATTTATTTTTTATTTGATAAAATTTTGTAATATTAATGAAGAATATACAAATTCTTTTCAGCAACAAAAATTGTATAAGAAACTTTTTCTGATTGTACGAACATCTAAGTATTATAAAATGTGAACGCATCTATTATTTACTAATCACCGGCAAGGAAGCTTCTTCGTTATTTAAAAAAAATAACGAGAGCCAATCAAATTCAAGTATTCATCTCACCGGTTTAATCCTGCGCCGTGATTGGTCGAACAATTAAACAGGTGCTATGCGTCATCCGCCATAACGTTGGATTTTGTGAAAGTGCGTTTTGTTTGCTTTAACGAAATACATTAATTTTCTTTATAATTGTCTATTCAAAAGTGTATTAAATGTGTGATTAATAATGAGTGAGTGGTACAGAATGAAGACTGGCTTTAATAATAAGCACAATTCTTCGGAATTGTCAGTGGAAACTTCTTGTGAGATGTCAGAGTCCTTCAACATATTTTCCGACAATTTGAGCCCCATACCGGCTTCAATAGTGCCCAGAAAGTTGGATTTCAGCAGCTTGGATGATGATGATGTTCTTCGTGATGCATCTACTGCCCCTGTCTCTCACAGTCCACCATATAAACGAGTGAGAGCTTTAAGGTGAGTTCTCTGCTATTTCGCCACCCAATCTTACGTAAAACACCACGGTTGTATTAAGAGTTTAGATTTTGTAATTTTTTTAGTTGGATATTATTATATTACAAAATGTTTGTTATTGTTTTGGTTATCTTAGCAGGTGTTTAGTTAGCATTTGATATTATTGTTAACAAATGTTACTAATAACAATTATGTTATAGATGTCTAATATTCTATATTTTGCCAAGCCATTACATTCCGTCCATTATTTATTCTATTATTCGTTCTCATTCTTGTATGTTATAACATCATTGGATCATCACTCTGGTCTGAATCTATAAAATGTTTAGATACCGTAATCTAGATATTTGTTCAGGTCCAGCAAAAAACTGGGATTTCATGCAATATAGTTTTGAAACCCATTATAATTTTTAAAACAGCAACATAGAAAGAAATTCTCATGTCTGATAAATTCTGAGACTATGTTATTATCATAAGGACCGCCAACTGCCTTAGAAGTAGAAGAAGAAGACTATGTTATTCTCAGTCCACATGAAATTTATGTATGTAATACATCCTTACAACACAAGATCTCTTTAATCTACTTCATTAAAAATTATATCATGTTTAATTTTCGTTTCAAATGTTTTATGTTTCCAATATTTAGCAGCATTCATTTACATATCTTAATTGCATGAACAGGTGTTGTTAATATAGGGTGAACATGATGGTGCAAAGTTTGAATTAAACTTTTAAGATTGTAAAGGACTAGACAGGAACTTGTCTTAGTTTTCAGTGCCTTTTTTTAATTCAAGGACAAATGTGGTGACATGTTAGGACATGCTTAATTATTTGACATGTTTCTACTTGTCTCTTAAACGGCAATGGGGACATGTAATATAAAACCCGATTTAAACTGGTCAAGTGTTTAGTACAGTTGAAAAGTATTGTTGTATAAGTTAGTTGCAAGTTGACTCGGCACTGTCTGATTATATACACTACTGTACTTACTCATTGTACTGTCTACTGTACTAAACAATTGTAAATCGGGTTTTATAGCAAGTAATTTAGCCTGTTCAGTATTAACTTACATTAGCGAAATAGCTTAGTTCATTAGGGGAATTATATAAAAATTAAATAACAAAATTAGTTATAAATTCAACTCTAATATTTGCATGAATTTCTATTATATATTGGCTCATAATATTTCATATAAGTCATATTTATTAATGATTATAGAATGTAATACATTACATATATACCTATTCTAAATGTTTTGTTTTAAGATCTGAGATAATTTAATAAATGCAGATAGCAATATGAAGCTTTCATATCCATCCATGCACTGTTGGCATAATAATAACTGGATATAAGTTGCCATTGCTTCATAAGACAACTCACAAAATATCCTGTTCGTTAGCACTTTCTATTTACTTCCAATATCTAAAGATAGTAATTTTTTTAAGGCAATAGATATTATTTATAGAGTGATGCATGGTCTTTATTGTAATGATAGTGTATAATGTGTAAAATACATTTTTTAAATCAGTTTCTAGGTACTGTAAGTTACAAATACAATGAGATTTTCAATGATTTATGACTTGAATCATTTGCTTTTCTACTATCTTAGATGGCCAGATTGAACCGTGGTGTTAAATCAAAACTAAAAACAGCCAGAAAAGTAAATTTGTGGACAATGTATACAATATAATATTACTGTTTCGTGTTAATTTTTACCTACAATTTATGTCAAATGTTTTTGTTATTGTAATTACAAGACTCGAGCAAACATTTCAAATTTAATAGTTATGATTTATGATAGTATTAAATTAGTTTAAATATTTTATTATATACTAATGCTGATTTTGAAAACAAATATGGCTGCCCTTCCACAAAGATTATGTTTAAACCGTACAATCCATGTGAAGCAGGGTTTTTACCACTTAAAAAAAGGTCGCCTCCCTTTGTCCACAAGAAATTTCGTTAAAAATCAGTTGAACTACAGTTATCGCGCACAAAAGGCCAAACATATGATCGGTGAACAGCTGACATCTGCCAGCCGAAAAAAAAATACGCCCACGTAGCGCGGAAAAAACATCGAAGCGAACACCTTTAGTTAGATGCGTCGGAATGTGCACCTTTTCCACTTATGTTACAGTTCGCCTATTTCCTGTTGAATTGATCTCTTTTCGTCACCAAAACTTCACCCGATCTCCGCCTTTTCCGCCATTCGATAAGGTCGAATTTTCTATGACGACGCATTTGAACTGGAAATCTTTCATCGTATACGTTCCGTCAATTTACGAATACGGAATAGTGAGACCAAGAAATGTGGCCCCTTTTTTGTCTCGAGCAAAGGTATCCGTGTGTCGTTCAATTCACAACTGTAACGGGCATACGCTCAAGGTGCAAATTCCACCGAAACGCGTTTCTCAGACGTTTCGAATTTTTGAACTAAGAATGCGCGTCTCAGGTGTACACCGGTGAATAGGACTTGTGCTAGTGTGCGTTAGTTTTATCGTCTTGACGCGACAAGTTTGCGCGCGTAGGGGTTTGGCTTAAGCAAACATGAGCACCGCGACGGTTGGAGACTTACGCAAAAAAAAAATTGTATGTAAATAAAAAAAGCGCGTGATTTAGCATCATGTTGCCAAATAAGACGATCGTGTTATTTTTTTTTCGACTTACAAGTTGTACTTGAGTTCGAAACCGATAAACGCAATGAGAGTATTTCTTGATTGCGTTATTTAAAAACGTTATCCCTGGCAATCACTGTGTGTTTATTAACATATTTAAGATTTAGGTAGATTAATAAGTTAGTGGTTAATCCCGGAAAATGCACACTATATTCAGTTGTAGCTACGGCTGACCACGTGCCAAGCAATGAAGGCATAAGTCACCAACTGAATCTTTTCTCTTTTTTGCTTTCGTAGAGATTTAAAAACATATAAATATTGTTAATGCTGACTGACTGTTAGTTTATTTAAAATTTTCGTATCTTTACTCCGCTGTAGAATATAATTTACTTCTCTTGTTTCCACTTCAAATATATTGCACCTTACATTAGCTTCAGTGTCAGAACGCTTGATTTTATTCGTCTTAGAAAAAGTCGCTAAATGATAAAATGTTCATTTCTACACGCAATTCGTTAATAAAACTTTACTGGATGATATCACTTTAACGCCCGGTTTCTAAAACACTGATCATCGTCGATGATTTTGGCAACTCAAATGACATTTGAAAGGCCATTTGGCAGCTGATTAGGTAACTTCCACATTGGTTAGTTTTTCAGAACCCAGGCGTATGTCCGCCTCCGTCCACAAGACGGTTCTACGATGTTCTCTACGATTGAATCGACATTGTAACTCTAAATGAAACTATTTTATGCGGATAGAGTAATGTGTGGTTATCATAGCTTCGTTTTTTTTTTTTTCAAAAAACTAGGAGGTTCTACGTTTCCTACAGTTGATGTGACATTGTCGCCAGGTTGTTCGACAGTCCACACACGCCGAAGACGCTGCTGGAGAAATGCTCGACGCCGTCGCACCATCCGCCCAGGTCGAGGCTCTTCCCGCCGAAGCTGAGCGCGCCAACGGGTGAGCAGAGCGTCGCTTTTGGTGGATACCTCTTTCCTTTTATACGAGACATTTGCAACACCTCTAGGGTTCTAGATGCGTTGCAACCTTTTAATTAAATGGATCCCGGCCACCTCAATCACCAGACGAAACGTAGGAGTGTAATACTTCCACATGTAGTAATACTACTACATCACTCCAGTCTTCTGTTGGGTCGTTGTATTTACCCGGACTGACCTATACATTCGTGCAACAGTGCTGACTGTTGCGTGTTCTTACCACAGTAACACCCGGTTTCTGAAACACTGATCAACGTAGATGTCAACTCATCAGCTGTCAAATGAATTTCAAATTTCATTTTAGTTGCCAAAAGGATGTTTAAACTCTTTGAATTGATCATTCTGATCATAAAGAAGATTCTGGTCAATTCAGAGAGTTAACCATCCTTTTGGTACATAAATTGTAATTTGAAATCCATTTGACAGCTGATTAGTTGACATCTACGATGATCAGTGTTTCAGAAACCGGGCGTTAGTGTGTGTTCATAATTCTGCATTTGTTCCTATATCAACCATGGTGTCACACTTTTTGAGAGTATTCTGCAATATATAGATATTGCAGAATATAGGTATATTGATTTTTTGAGTGTATGGGTGTATGGACTTAGTTAAGGTGTCACCCATTTGAAATAAGGAAGAATCGAGAACAATCCACCTTACTTTACGCCTGATTAAGCCCTGTGAGGGATTGTTTCACGAGTAACGGAGGTGAGGCCGACTACTTGTTTTAATTAACATTATCACCACACGAATTCCATACCAGGAAAGGAGTTTTTATAAAGCTTACTCTGAGTAAAATTTACTATATTAGTGTGCCCGTTGTGTACCTTGGCACACAAAGGAAATACCTCCGAGCCTCACACGCTCAAATGTAACCGACATAACTGGTAAAAAAAAAACAAAATGGCCGCCGCCGACCTTGGAAGCCGCGGTGTCTTCGCCAAACACCACGACCGTATCCTTCTGTTATGGGTCGATATGACAGAAGTGAAAGTTCCGCATTCGACATTCCGTTGTGGGACGTTAACGAGACATTTAAAAAACCAGTTTTCATGTGCCGCATGGCGTTATGTTTTCCTATTATATAATATCGTCATCACAACAAATTAGTGCTTTGTGAACTTACGCGGTATGCGAAAATTGACAATGGAACGCTAAGTAATAATTGCAAATAGTCTTATATCAGTCCTTCTATTGAACCCAACATACATAACAAGATTTAAAATAGGAGAGAATTTAGATTAATTATTTATCGTGCATGAGAGTTTTGAGATTTTGTACAAATATATCGCTTATAATCGTGTAGTTTCTTGCACGTAATCATACTATTATTTGTTAATTTTCGCTTTACACTTGACTCGGAAACGGATGACGGACTGTAATCAAAATACGCTTGACCTGACTTTAAGTGATGACTCCGTTGCGCAGTTGTCGAGGCATTGGCTTCGGCGCCGGGGGTCGTGGGTTCGATCCCCACACGGGACAACTATTTGTGCGACCCACAGATAGTTGTTTCGCATCAGGGTGTTTGTCCGCGTGAAATTTATGTCTGTAATCGTCCTTACAACACAGGACAATGTTAGCCTAAATTAAGGGCAATGTTTTTAATTTTAAAAAAAAATGTATTCTTTGTAAAATAGAAGAAAAACAATCAATGGGTCCATTTTGTTTCTAATTTCCCTTCATCCTTCATCTAGGTGTTCCTTTTGATCCCTTTTGATTCGTGAAATCGTCACCGTATTATAAATGCTGTTTTTTTATGTGAAAAGTTGCCAAACGAGCAGACGGTTCACCTGATGTTAACTGAATACCGCCGCCCACGGACATCTGCTACACCCGAGGGTTACAGATGCGTTGACAACCTTTTGAAAATGGGCTCCGGCCACCTCACCGACCAGACGAAACGCGAAAGTACTTGTCATACTTCCACTTTACGCTTCCGTGAGGTCGTGGTACTCACCCCGACGGGCCTGCCCATTCGTGCAACAGCCGAGGCTGCTGCGTGGACGTACCACCGTTAAAACCGTTGCTGTTGTTCTAACGTTCCCCATCTCCATCCAGGTGTACCCTCGGGCTCCAGCCACCATCTGCACCCGCCGTCGTGCGACGAGGACAGCGCTTTAGGCAGCCTGCCCCCCGACGAGCTGGATGACTCGAGGGTGCGCCGCCCCCTCGCCAACATCAACCCCTTCACGCCGGACGGTGAGACTTCCGTATACATTTTTTTTATGTGAAAAGGTGGCAAACGAGCGGTTCACCCGATGCTAAGTGAATACCGCCGCTAATGAAAATTAGCAACACCCGTAGGGTTGCAAATGCGTTGCCACCTTTAAATAAAGTGGGCCCCGGCTACCTCACTCACCAGACGGAACGAAAGTATCAACTCACCCGGACGGACCTGCCCATTCGTGCAACAGCCGAAGCTGTCGCGTGGCCCTACCACAGTTAGTGATTTGAATTTTATAATGATTTTACTGTGGTAGCGCCACGCGAATAAAACTAATTTACCAAAATGTGTACGACATAAAACCCCGGAAATATTAAAAAACAATAGCACTTTTTTTTTTCTAAAATAAAATGTTATCGGTTCAGGTCAAGCGCTGAACAAGAAGAAGCGCGCGCTGTCCAAGACGCCGACGCTGTGGGGAGAAGCATCACCCGAGCAACCCGCCAAGCGGTTGAGGGTAAATTTTACTTAATATTTGTGTTAAGACTATTTGTTTATTACATTATTTACATTTGTTTACTCAGTCATCATAATTATGTTTTCTAACAATTATCTATTATAGTTAATTTCTGAAAAATGCTTTCAAAGCAGCTATAGAGTTAAATTCTCGAAAGTTTCTGTCCATTTATCTTCATAAATTTATCTATGTTGTTGCAATACTAGTATATGTCTGCGATCGACTGTCCTTATCGGAAGGAGTTGAAAGCTACAAACACTTTGAATTCTAAACTCACGTACATATACAAAAATTTCCGTCTCTCGCCCAGGAGTCGAACATATCGCGGTACAACGTCGAGTTCCTCGAGCTGGGCGTGGTGGGGCGCGGCCAGTTCGGGCGCGTCACCCGCTGCGTGAACAAGCTGGACGGCTGCGTGTACGCGCTGAAGAGGTCGCTGCGCCCGGTGGCCGGCTCCGCCGCCGAGCGGGCGGCCCTCACCGAGGTCTACGCCCACGCGGCCCTGGGGAAGCATCCGCACGTCGTCAGGTGGGACCTCAACGGAGAAGGTGGCGAGAGAGCTGGCGGTTCACCTGATGTCAAGTGATAACTGCCGCCCGTGGAAATTTGCAGCACCCGTAGAGTCACAGATGCGTTGCAACCTTTTAACAAAGTGGGCCCCGGCTACCTTATCAGACAGAATGCAGAGGTATAACACTTCCACATCACGCCGGTCTTATGTGAGATCGTGGTACTTACCCGGACGATACTGCCCATTTTTGCAACAGCCGAAGCTGTTGCGTGGCCGTATCTTCTTAAACCCTATATACTCTGGTCAAGTGTCTAGAATCTCCTTATCTCCGTAACGAAATTATCGTTTTCATGTACCAAATAAATATATTTTGTTTCTCTCTTTCTAGTACAGTAGACAGAAACAGTGAGTAAGTACAGTAATGTAAAGTATTGTACAGTACTTACTCACTGTACTAATCACTAGAGCAGTGTAAATCGGGCTATAGTTCAAGTAAAAAAAGTAAAGTAAGAACCTATAAATGTCCCAGTGCTGGGTAAAGGCCTCCACTGTAATTAGCGCATAGTCCACTTCGCAGCGCCACTTCAGAAGCAGACTTATCTTATGTTTTTCTTATTTTTTTTTATATGTGAGAATGTGGCTAGCTAGCTGGTGGGTCACCTGATGTTAAGTGATAGGGGTTCATTGTCCACTTGCTAATTTAAGAGGAGTATTAGCTGTACTATAATTGATAAAATACTAAATCATTAAAACTCATAATTACTCAAAGTTCAATGTCAGTAAGAACACTCTTTGTACTTATATTTACAAATGCTCTCAATCGTGTTAGGTACTATTCAGCGTGGGCGGAGGACGACCACATGATCATTCAGAACGAGTACTGCGACGGGGGCTCTCTGCAGCAGATGATGGAGAATGGGCCGCTGCCTGAGAGCGAGCTACTGCTCCTTTTGGCTCACATAGCGGACGGCTTGGCGTGAGTACTCTATATGACTGGTGTAAATAGTCAGCCTTTATTGAATATGTGAAATTTATTTACTGTTTAATTTTTAGTGTTACACCCGGTTTCTGAAACACTGATCGTCGTAGAAATTAACTAATCAGCTGTCAAATGGCATTTGTGTTGCCAGAAGGATGGTTAACCACCGGGCGTTAGTCCCTGTATTTATACATATTGCAACTTAAAAATGTGTAGATAAATCTGTCGTAAAATTCTTTGGAGCCTTCAGGAATGGAAATCGGTCTTGGCGGTTGAAATCCTAGTCGCGCGTAAATCACCGTCTTATTTACTTTGTTTTCGCCATTTGTAGCAATGCCTGTAAAAGTTGGTGTACGTCTTCCCGTATTTTCCCTAAGTTCTCTCAACAATGACATATAGGAATGAAAAAAAAAATGCGTATAATTTAAAAGTGATTTTTTTTGGGCGGTGTTTCGATAATTTATCGTCAATTGAGACTTAGGTTAGGTTAAATAGGAGAGAAAAAAAATGTAACGACAGGACCATGTATATTCAATATCAAACGGCAGAATATTATAGTGTCGCGCATGCGCGCGTTGTAGAACTAAACGTTAGACGCCATATATGTATAAACAGCTGATATCACCATTATGCAATTATTAATACTCGCTACATTTGCAGGTACATTCACTCGCTGCAGCTGGTGCACATGGACGTCAAGCCGGGCAACATATTCGTGTGTCGCTCCGAGGGTACAGCCGCCCTCGAGTCTGATGATGGCTACGACGAAGACGACGCGCCCCACCCAAACGCGTCACAAGCCCACCACAAGTACAAGATTGGTGAGTTCACATTGTAAATATGATGGCTCGAATGGCGTAATGGGTAGTGTACCTACCCCCTGCGTCAGAGGGTGTGGGTTCGATGCCCATTACTGCAACGATATTGGGTTGTTGATATACAATTCAGGTCTACATTGTGATTGAGACTGGAAGCGAACATGTCTTCCAATAAAAGTGTGAATAAATCGAGAAGTCATCCACTGAAACACTACAATAACTGATGTCAATGCGAACATTCCATTTCGAATATATAGTTTAGCAAAACATAACAAACTTGTAATAAAGGTCTTACCAGAAATATATGTCCTTAGGTTTAATAAGAGTTATATCGTCAAGAGTGTTGAATATAAATAATGTTTTTGTTTTGTAGGCGACTTGGGACACGTCACTTGTGTATCCTCACCGTCGGTGGAGGAGGGTGACTGTCGCTACCTGCCAAAAGAGGTTCTCCAAGAGGATTTTACGCATCTCACAAAGGCTGATATATTCGCGTTTGGTAAGTCTGAAACACATTAATTATATATATTTAGTAAGGACTTTTATAGTTTGAATGCATCTGCAAAATTCATTCTTTGAGATCTTTGCAAATGGTGAAATTCTTACTGTCAGTAAGAATCCATAGTGGCTTTGATTACCTCATTCACTATATAATCACTGTTAAGATATATATTGCTATACTTTAGCTACCCAAATTCATATCATTGAATAGGAAGATAAGAATTTTGAAGACATGTGTAGTCACTATAAAGTATAGTATATGTGATATAAGTCATTATAAAGAGGTATCTGCTAGCAGTTGGATGATAGGTATGGCTTTACTTTACTTATTCTTTAACTTGCAGGCCTAACTCTGTATGAAGCTGGCGGTGGCGGTCCGCTACCTAAGAATGGGCAAGAATGGCACGACATTAGGGACGGCAAGTTACCCGACCTACCAAATCTCTCCAGGGAGTTCAATGAACTGTTGAAGGTGAGTTGTCCCATAAACATTTCTACATATAATGAATAGTACATAGATTTGAATATGATGTGTCGGATAGCATAAATTGTTATCTGATACTGTAATATAAGTACCTTAATAAATATTAACTCAGTACAGTAGTCTAGCATATGAATGAAGTCAAGCCATATTCAATGATATATTCATGTCACTATATTTGTCAAAAATGGAAAAAAAAGTAGCCTGCTGAGTTTCTTTCGCCGGTTCTTCTCGGCTTTCTTTTCCGAACTGGTGGTAGTATTTTGACAATGTAATGTAATGCTCCTTTGTTGAACAAAGCTTATGAATTTAAATTTGAGCTTTGTTGAGCTTGTATTTTCTGATATAGTTTTACCATAAATAAAATAATACCATAACCTGTGGAAACAGAAAATGGTGGATCCGGACCCAACACAGCGACCCTCCGCGGCGCGTCTGAGGCGCCACGCTCTCCTCCATCCGGCGGGAAACAAGAGCAAGGCTCAGTTGAGGAGGGAACTAGCCGCTGCCCGACTCAAGAACGAATTGCTGTCAAGAAAGCTACAAGAGGCTGCGAGGTAACCCGTCCCCTCATATCTTGACTCTATGCTTTTATATGTGTTTATACCAGGCTATTAATATTACCGATCAATACGCAAAATTTAATCATACATTACTCTTACTTTAACATATACCAGCAATCAATTAGCTAACGGTGTTTCTTTAAAGTTTCAAGATGGCCTCCAAAATGTTTTTATCATTTAACCATAAATACTTATATATTATACTATATAAATATGATTAGAAAACACTTAATTTTGGTGCTTTATTATTTTATATTTTTTCAAGTAAGTAACCAAAGGCTGCGAAAATTATTGATTGTTATGAATATATATAATAGATGTGAATTTTCTTGATGTTTACTTCATTATATTTAGTTGTGATGAGTTTGTCTGGGAAACGCTGTTAGAATCAAGCATGTAAAGAAAGAAAGAAAGAAGAAATATTTATTCGGCGCATTACATTACAGGAAAAAAAAAAAGAAATAACATTAGAATTGTAAAAATGTATGCACCAAAAAGGTCTCCGCTCAGTATATTGCCCTGGCAAACAATACCACGGCACTGGTTTTCTGCGGATACCTTGTAAGATTGGCGTTCAGCTCCATGCATACAGCCAACAAAAATAACAATGAAATAGACTAAAAACAATAAAAAAGGAATATAAAAGTTACGAACAATAAAATCAAAAATAAAGTATAACAAAAAAAAAATTATTAACAAAAACTATAACATGTCCTCAACACAATACAAGTACCTATATACCTATGAGAGCTGAGTTGACTGGGTGCAACTTTATATATATTTAATATATGCAGACAGCGATCTGATCCGTTTTACTCCGTCTTTTGCAAATGAAGTAGAAACTTTTTGTATTTTGCTTTAAAGATATGTAAAGACGAAGAGTTTCTAATAGGTGGTGGGATGTTATTCCAACACTTTGTGGCGGAGTATCGAAAGCTTCCACGGAAAGCCGCAGTACTAAAAACAGGGCATATAAGACGGTCACAAAGTCGTGATTGGCGTTGTGTAAATTTTAACTTGCCGTAGAGATATGATGGACTTTGTTTATTTATTACCCCGAAAATTAAGGAAGCAAAATGTAGTGCTCGCATGTAAGCATGTATGGCACGTCTTTTTTGTCTATTTGCATTTGCTTAATATGTGGTTTGACCATGCAGGGATTCTTACTGCTGCATGATTGTGCTTTTGTTTTATATTTTTCTGATGAGTGCGATAATTGGAATCCATGGGTAGTTGTTTACCATTAGAAGGGTAAACAGCTCCATTATCATTAGAAGATGAGCAATTTTTCCTCTAGAAAAACTAGTACTATAGTTGTAATGCAACCTGCTTTTGTTTTAATTCAATTTCCAGCATGCTGAATAGAGGCTCACACATGGTACCTTGGAGGACATAACACGGTACTGAATGCTAACCTCACAATTGAGGTTAGCACCTAACACAATATGTTTTTGAAACTGAAAAGATTCTCCACCGTTTTGCACGCCAATGCTCACATCGGCCATTTATTTCTCTTTGCAGATGCATTAAATCGCTAACACCAAACCTCGTAGCGAACCAGGAGTCTGCGAAGTTCCGCACCAGATCGGCCAAGAGGCTGCAAAAGCCTCGCGTGGACTCGCAGATAGTCGACATCATACAGTCTGTGACCTCCCCTATCAGGATAGACAGACGGACAGACCGGCGGGGTAAGAAGATGTAATATGTGACTTGACATGTATAAATCATCGCCACGGAATGGAATTCGGATATTAAATTATTCTATATATTATATATTTATGGATTGATGAGCACCCAAGAATATAGACCAAGAGTTTTTATAAAATAATCCTTGCAATTGAGGTAGATACAGAACAAGGTATAACAGTTGTGGTAATCTAAGATAACGGTTTTAAGTATAATATTGGTATTTATGAATACTTATTATGAATTGCTTATTACGGAACATATGTAATGTTATCCAGTGGACTTTCTGCCCATGTAATATCAACAATAGAAATGTAGACAATATTATTTGTTCAATATTGTTTTATTCAACAGCATAAAATTATTTTTAAGTCTTAAACATCATTGGAGCAATATTTAAACAAAAATATTTCACGGTCCAACTAATATTAGAAATGGAATGTACTGTTCATTCTATTTTTATGCCTTACGGTTTTTCTACCTTAAGCTTTTTCAATTGCTAATTGTAATGCGGTTTGGATAAACTATTAACAATAACTGAATGCTGTATTCGTTTATCCAAATAATTAATGAATGCTGTAATAAATCAAATGTTATTATAATAGTAATATTTAATTGAGTTATGGTGTAAAATGAACTTGCACATTTCATACATATTTTAAAATAGGGCTTAAGGAAAAAAGAATGGCTAAATAATAAAATTCAATAAAAGTTTTCCTAAAAAGTAAAATGTTTTGAATGAACAAAAAGTAAAGAAAAAAATAACACAGTGGTAATTTTGATCAATTTTCGTTTATACGAATCCAAAAACTATATGTCATACATAGATAAATATTTGACAGTTGTGACGATCAAAGGCTCCTATAGCATCTGGCCGTTTTGAGAAATATTAATATTTTTTTTAACTATGTCTCGAAAAAAAATAACAATTAAAAATAAAAGCTTAGTTATTATTTTTGTTTGTGCACGCTAATTCCACTTTACTGTTTTATTTTATCCCTCTCTTCACATTCATTGTATTCATCCAGTGAATTTAAGTTTTAAACCAAATCTTAGCTAAATATTAAATGAAACAAAAATATGTTATAGTTGTAGGCCTACATGTCTACTGCCCACCGGTTAATATAAATATAACAAATACATTTCATTTAGTGCAACACAAGACTGCGCATCTTTTGCCATTGTATTTATTAAAAAAGAGCCTGCTTGCGTTACATATGTGTTGCTATAATCAATAATTTCGACGAATAGGGGTGCGCGGAATGTCACCGCAAAACGAAAGGGATATGACTAATAGCAAAAAATGATAAATAAATGGCGAGCCCTATTTTAGTAATCTGTTGTGACAGATAACTAAAAATAAGATTACTTCCCTAACATTATGACAATAAATAAAGGAATGACTGATGATAATGAAACCAAGTGCCTTTAAAATGTTAAAAAAAAAAAAACAAGTATGTGATTGTTTGTGCTTTCTTAACTAATAATTAACGAATTTAAATGTATTATAATGTTAATTTACGATATATAATTGAGGAAACGAAAGTTTTGAAATATAATTCTTCCATTTTTTTTCTCCCTTGTGATATTTGTTTGGAAAGTTATAGGTAAGTTTTTTAGATGTAAGAACATGTCTTGTGCTGATGATTTTCGTCTTGAGTAAACTACGGCGCTTCCAGCCAATGTGACTATAAAAATTACCCATGCAGTAACTAAAATATCTGAAACCATTTATTCTGCCAACGAATGTATTCAGATACAACTGGAAAATAAAGATAGACGAAATTATCAGCTCGGAATGATCCGTTTCATCCTACTCTAGTTATACGCAGCTTTTTAATGAGATAGATAGCATAGCGGTTTAGTTTTAATGAGAATATAATAAGAAATGTATGTAATATTTATTTGTATAGTTTAAAAAAAAGTAAAAACACATATATATTAATTACATATATAAGGCGAGTTATTTTTTTAACGATAACTGAAATGCTTTTTAGCAAACATTTTTTACTGGTAGTGCATCAAGAAATGTATAATGTACTGCAGCGATAAGACCAACTTCATTACGGAATCACTTGTATATTTTTAATAAAATATATTTTCTAGCCACTGTTACGCAATAGAGATTCCTTATATTTTTTAACACTGTTCAAAATCCCAAATCGTTTTCGTTTATATACACTTCTTGTAGGTGTCAACACAAATAACTTACGCCCGGTTTCAGCTGTCAAATGGCTGATTAGTAAATTTCTACAATGATCAGTGTTTCAGAAACTGGGTGTTAATCTCTTTGTTTATTTTATTTCAAAATTTTGGCCACTACAATGACAATTCACATCATGAATTCTTAAGTTTTTGACCTAATAGTTTAGCTAAGTGTAATTTCAAGTTTTTATTGTAACAAACAGTTAATTCAGTGCCTTTGTCTTTTCCTATATAACAACCCACCATGACTTATTACCATTTTTTTAATAGTTTTCCATATATGTAGTCATTCTGTACAATATTTAATAAAGTTGATTTTACTACTTTCAATTTTTATTATTTAATTTTAATGTTGCTTCTTTTGCTTTTATTAATAACAAATTATTTAGGTAGTTCTGGAGTGAAATAAGTTTGTTCTTAAGTCAATATTATTTCATAGTTTAACGTAGGCAAACCTACATGGTAGGTTAGCGGAACTAATAATTATTAGATGTATGGATCTCAAGTTCTTTTAAATGTTCTTTATTAATAAATACATTAATCATTAATAAAAAACTTACGTGCTGTGTTTTGAATGGTTAAATGGTCAAATCTTCCCAAAATTTGTACATAGTCGTAACTTATGGCATGATCCTATCAAATTTTTTTACTTGTACTAGATTTAGTAGCATTAGGCTTATTTTCTAAAAATCATATTATCAACATATTGTATTTAGTTTAAGTATTGTTTTGGCATGTTCTAGTTGAGAATGTACTAAATTGTCACTTCCATGTAAGTTAGAGCTATTTCTTAGTCTCTATACAACTATTATCGCTATAACACAAATCAAACTCCTCCGCTGGGAGGAAGTGAGTAAGTAAGAAACAGTATACACATTTAAAATAGTTGTGGTTTCTTGTCATTTATGATTTTGCAAACTTTACGTCTGTGGGGTGCATCATTGTCCCACAGCCACGCACAATCTGATAAGTTCCTTTTTCATACATAATTAATGTTATATTTGGTTTCGAAATGTTGCGTTTTTTTTTTTCGATTTCTCCCTAATGTTTTGTTATTTAGATTTGACCAAAGCGGGTGTTGGAGCGGAGGACATGTGAATAAAATGTTTTGTATATTTGCTATTATATTGAAATTAAATAAATGTGCTTGTTCAATAGTTACATTGTTTCATTTATCCCTAATTAGCATAAGTTTCCTTCGCATATCTTTTTCTTTCCTACTATGGCTACACTGATACGTCAGTGATTTACCAAATAACTTAGTAGGTACTTTGAGATCGACTAGGCTGAGGACATGACAATAATAAACTACTGTATTAAACCACTTTCAGTTGCGTATCTGTAAAGAGGTGAGCAAAACTCGACATTAGTAACACGACAATACTGTGTGACTTGTTATTAGCATTTTGATAAAAATATGATTTACTAATTTTCAGATCATTCTCATCTTTTCTTATATTTGTTCTGTTCTAAAGTTCTTAGTCTTATTCTCGTCCGACAAACACAAAAAAAAAACTCCGTGTAAAGGCGGAATATGATACACAGAACATGATTTGGATAGAAACACCAACACATTCATACCCTCTTCTCTCATCTTCATTAGACTCATAGATAAGACATATATACTGAAAATAAATGAAATACTCAAATGCAGAAATAAACTATATACTGATTAGACTGAAATGCTGACACTGAATGCTGATGACATTGACCTTAGACGGTTTTTGCGCGAAAAGCGTCATGTCACTTGTGAATTGTTGAGCAAAAAATAATAATTCAAAACTCAACAAATTGACATTACATAAATGTATAATTAGGATTAACCACGTAGCAAGAGCAATTGCTACGGGCTCCGCGCCAAAGGGGGCCCCGTATATTTAAATTTGAATCCACCTATCTCTGCCTCAGCCTTAATTTTTTGAGTGAAACTTATTAAATAAGAAAGAGTATTGAATTGTTTTTTACTAATTTATACTAAAGAACTAATAGCAGATCAAGGACTTTTGAAAGAATTCGCGCTAGCTTAATCCTCACTCACCAGACGAAACGCGAAAGTATTATACTTCCACTTTACGCCGGTCTTCTGTGAGGTCGTGGTACTTACTATGACGAGCCTGCCCATTCGTGCAACAGCCGTGGCTTCTGCGTAGCCCTACCACCCATTCGCGGGTCGTTTATCCACGGATCTTTTCCGACGAAGTAAGGCAAGTAGGTAAGTTAAATGCCGCCGCCCAACAACACCTGACGGGTGGCACATGCGTTACCAACCATTAAAAAATACCTGTATACCTGCCCTCAAATTTCAATTAACAATTACACTAATTAATTGTTAATTAAAATCTATTAACGAAAGCGATGGAATTTTAACACATGGCAACATTAAAAGCGAAAAATCCTACGTTCACTCGTTAACTGTATAACCTTTCTATTTGACAACAGATGGCAGTATAAAACTAGTTGTTGAGTAATTTTCACATGTTTATATAGATAAAAATACTGATAAAATATATTTGATAATAATCGTATTTTTACTAAAGTAAATCAGTATTTAAAACGAAACATAAATCAGATTATAAACCCTAAGCTTTTAAAGGCAAGCGTATCACATATCTTTAAATTTAAACCGGACCGTTAAATCGCATGCTATTGTGTTAAAATTTCGCTCCAAACAAAACGATGATAAATATAATTATGACAAAATAGAATCCGCGTGACAAATATATGAATGGAAAGCGCGACAAATCTAACAAAAGATGGCGTCACGTGCGGGCATTTTGGGCCCAAATCCGTGCCAAGCGTTAACCGCATGCGCTCGTTAGAAAACTGTTAAATTTATTAGTATTCATTAAATATTATTATGATGCCAAACAAAAGACACTTAATTATATGTGCAATCACACAATTCTGTAAGGTGCTTACAATAAATACCGTTTATTATACGTAGGTAAAACCTCGCTTTCGTTCGAATCATTTCAAGTAGTACTATCGAGAAGCAATTATCTTAATAATTTAATGGTTTTATGCAGTTTCTACGCTCCAGTTCATTCATTAACATGTTTTTTTCACTATTAAATAATTTCTTTCGGACCTGATCGTCTATCAGGCGTACACCGAGACACCGATCAGTGTAGCTTTCAACTTATCAGCTTTTAAGTAACCTTGAACGCCTATAACACAATAGTGATAATGGAGGGGCACGGAGTAGAAAAATAATTAAAAGTTATTTCACTTCGTGTAGAAGGGTTAAGTTTTCAAAATAAAAATAAACTGTCCCGCGGATCGCCACCGCTTTTTCAATAATGTTTAGTGTTATTTTGACATCACCCCTTCGGCAACTGTGCGTGTCGAATTTGCGTAATTGCATAAATATGGGTTCCATCCCCATGCAAGCGGAGAACGGGGCTGTGTGATAGCCGTTAATTTGACATTTAATGTACAGTAATGACAATATAGCGTTATGGAATATAAACGATATATTGAATATAAATAAATAAAATTGTCTATGATTTATGGACATCGACTATACATTTAAGAGAGTACCAAGTTAGCTGCACTTAAGTACGAAAGTAGTTTTTTTTTCTTTAATTTTACTAGGACAACATTATCCCGTGTATATGGTGAAATTTATGTTTGTAAAACGTCCTTACAGTTTTACAAACATAAATTTCACCCAGATGCGAAACATCTATCTGTGGGTCACACAAATAGTTGTCCCGTGTTGGAATTGAACCCATGACCTCCGACGCCGAAGCCTCGAAGACCTCGGCAACCGCGGCACGGAGTCATCAAAGTTCTTTTGATTGCTCCACAGTTCAGGTTAAAAAAACTGTGGTTGAAGTTCAAGAAGTTTATTGAAATGCATTCAGCGGTAGGCGGCTAACTTGTCCAAATCCTACGGCCCCGCGAAAGACCTTGTTATTAATATAATATAATAATTTGTTATCTAGAATTATTTATTAGGACCCTCCAGACGTTGCAAACCTGCATTAATAACTTAGCATCTGGTGGTTTTCCCGCTCCTTTCTCTTCTCCCCTAAATCCTGTGGTGGGGCAAAGCAGCAGTCTGCTATAACACGAATGGGTAGACCCGTCCGGGTAAGTACCACGACCTCACAGAAGACCGGCGTGAAGTGGAAGTATTACACATTACTTAAACAATTTCAAACAATTTGTAAAAGCTACCTTAATGGCAAGGGCCTACTATAATGTCCAAGAATACATTGAGGGCAAGGATGTGTGGAAATCCGTAATGACTCTTGCTCTGCACTTGCGAGACCCCTGGCTGTTGCTGATTTTATACCTAAATAAGTTTGTATAATTGCATAAAAAAAAATAACAAAAAGAACAAGACCGCAGAGTTTCTTGCCGGTTCTTCTCTGTGCAGGTCTAGTTTAGTGAACCGGTGGTAGATTTTTTGTTGACGTTCAATAAGAACTTATTGAATAAAGATACTTTGACTTTGACTTACAAAAAAATTCCATGTCATAATTTCTGAAACTGAATAACAATAATTATGTACTCGTAGTTATCGTCTTCAATTTTTTTTTTCAAATTTTCATGACGTTTGCCTTCATTATTCCAACTGTGATGAATCTACAATAGATTTTCTGTATGTAAAGAATACACACTTTTTATTATTTCTATTCAATTTCTATTCCTATAAAACTGTTCCACGAGAAATACTTTCAAATTCATACGCTAATGATTTATTTCAAGTCGATTCCTTCCCGCTGTTTCTCTTACAATGGCGGGAAAAATCCATTCTTTTCTAGTTTATGTTCTTTCAATGTTACGTATCCCTTCCAACGATGTTAAGGCAAAATGAAAGTTATGGTTAGCGATATTAGGAATAAAATTGTTTGCATTAGTGAAATTTGCTAAGCTCTTTCTGCCATCAGTTGGCGACCAATAACAAATAGGTGGGTGTGTCTAATTCCAAACTCATTGTTTTTTTTCTTTATACCTCTACAAGCTTGGGCGAAACTGTGTAATGCAGGCCAGCATCAATATGATATATATACACTGTTGGTCAGCTTTGAATAATTTTTTAAAAAGGAACCACTATACAGTACTTTATTATTATAATTTATATCTTTAGATATTTAAATGCTGATGCAAGTTTTATCCGTCACTGGTGACGTTGATAGATGGTAATTTTTAGGTTTCCGTACCCAAAGAGTAAAACGGGACCCTATTACTAAGACTCCGCTATCTGTCTGTCTGTCCGTCTGTCACCAGGCTGTACCTCATGAACCGTGATAGTAAGACAGTTGAAATTTTCACAGATGATGTATTTCTGTTGCCGCTATAACAACAAATAAAACTGACACTAAAAAACTGACACTAAAACAACAGTCCGTTTTGGTAGATAATGGTACGGATATATTATAGAATATTCACAGAACAAGGTAACTTCACCATATTTCAAATTGAATAAATTTATATATAGAAAGTAAAAAAAATATACGTATAAAGAAAGTACCGTAAATGTAAAATGTAAGCAACTAGTGTAATTTAGCGATCAGTGTTGGCTTAGTGATCAGATCATAAGATCGTTAGTATGCGTGTTTGAATCTTGGCGGCGTGCATCGATGAGTTGTTTTGCGGATTTAAGAGTATCTCATCAGCAGCTAGGGTAAAGTATCGTTATCTCTGTCTAGCACATAGCAATAGATAATTAGTGATAAAGCAAGCGAAGTTCTACCATCTAAGATGACGTCAATGCTTAGCGTATCTAAAGCTATAACATCTTAGCACCAGGCATCATAATTGTGGAGTAGTCCCTGATATTATGCAGCAAGGGAGTGGAACAGTCTGCCCCCATCTACCCGATTAAAATTAAGGACTCGAAGCTACCTACAGCGTAAAAAGTTACAATCACGTTGTAGTGAGTGCAATACTAATAAAATAAAAAAAAAAGTTTAAAAGATTTGTCCGACAGCACAAGTATTCAAAGACATCGATCGAACGGGATGATAATCTGTTAAATTAATTTTACATTTAATTGTAAAAATTTAATTGAACATCGCTCCAAATAAAAATACATCAAAAGTTTATGACATGTTAAGTCAATTTGACTGTATACAAATTTCCAAAACGGGACTAATGTTATTTAAGTATTATAATATATAAGTAATAAATATATGTATATTTTATAAGTAAATATTGCAGCATTAGCATTTAGACCTTCGCAGCCAAGTCTACGCTAGGTCTACATGTATAGAGGTTAAGTAGCTACGCCGTAGCCATAAGTCTACGAAGGAAGAGGAAAATGGATAAATTCCCGTTTGTACACTACAAGCACCTCTGTAAAGTTTTAATTGTTTCTTGTATTCTAGTATACGTACAGATAACATAAACCAAACTTTAATTTTACAATTCTAAGCTTTTTCCGCCAGTTGTGGCCTATAAATCAAAAAGATTTAACGGCATAGTATTATCACTTAACGATGTTGTCCTTTGAAAATAAATATCATTAAATATTTCATAACATTTCTAAATCATCTTAAAAGTATATATTGTGTGTCGTGGCTACAGGCTTACTAGTCATGCTTGTGGTGATAATACTCAAAAGATCTCTCCGATCTCTGCGAGGGAAATGAGTTGGTATTGTAACGAAAGTTATAAGTACTCTTATTAAAGTTTTAAAACCATTTTAACACAGGTGAATGTAAAATGAACATTTTTTAAATTAAAACATGTAGAAAAAGTGCGAAAAGATTGTCGCCGCCGTGGGATTTTTTTAATGCTTAATACGTGATTGAAGTAAGTGGCAATAATAGCGCATGTCTATGGGACCTTAATGGTTTTAAATTGACTCAAATCTATGTCTAAGATGATAAAATTACCGAAACATATCAAAGACAGACGCGGAGAAAAATACTATTAACTTTCACAAACCCCTTTTGTCTCTTGACCTATGAATAAAGACCCGCGTATAAACTCAGTAATCCACTAATACGGGCTCTACAAATTTACTAACTAGGAACGAGATGAATAAAAAACGCCTCTCTTCGGTCTCCATACGAACTACTTTTCATTAACAAGGCCCGCTTGGCGTGTTTTCGGTAGATATTAATCGGCCAGCGTGGAAGACCGCGAACGATATGCGAATTGCCCTCTACTGCTACGCCACTGGAGGGTGGGACGGCTCAGGTTACGCTGGCCGACCGCGCACAAAAGCGTGGCTAAAAAGCCACCCCGGGCGTCCGGAAACCCGCCCCTTTCTGAAGAACCACTCCCTTTAAGTCAGTCCACGTTCAACCTTCGCCCGCGACGCATGTGCAACACGCTACCCCGATTACATGACGACGATACAGCCCGCTGGCCGCTGCATTCGTTGTTTCTTTCTAAACCTTGACAGCCCTAGTCGTGACGCAGCTTTGGTATATCCGTATTAGTGTAGTGACATCTTATAGTGATGTTCCCGATAACTTCTACGTGAAAACACCGTTATAAAGTAACCGTTGATCGGCTGACAGCGATCGCTACGGGCGTATGATGTACCCAACGGACAGTTTGAAACATGGACCGCTGAAGCTGAACCCGTTCGTCGCGCGGAGCAACCTCGACCGTGGCATTATGCTGAAGACGATACAGAGCCTGTGCTACAAGAGCGGCGACGGGCTGGGCGTGCCATCGCCGTTCCTGGTGGACAATATACTGCAGCAGACGAGCGACTACCGCAGCCAGTACATCAACCAGCAGTTGGAGAGCTACGTGCTGCAGAGGTACGAGCACTCCAGGGACGACTCCCCTGAAGCGGACGAGGTGAGGGACGGTCAGGAGGTGGACGAGCGACGGGAGTCGATCGACGAATCCAAGATGGAGAATGACGATGACTCGAAGAGCAGGGAAGATGAAGAGAGTTACGAGATGAAGAGCGAGGCCGCTTATTATAGCGAGCGCTACAGAAGCGAGGACCCTCGGGGCTCGGAGAAGGAGGTGCTCAGCGTGCCGACCTTGGCGAGGCGTTGCCACAGCTGCGGGGCATTCGACTGCCCGCCGTACGCTTGCCAGAGGACCGGCTCCTCGGGGATCCGTCGGCTGGAGGAGTTGGAGAAGCGCTTCAACCTCCACGGCTACCAGGAGCACTCGGGAGACGAGGAGCCCGCCAGGGAGGCGGGCCAGAGCACGGATGAGATAGTGAGAACGTGCGACGACTACGAGCAAAAGAAACCGCCACTGAAGTTCAGCGTCAGCGCCATCCTGGGCGACAGGGGAGATTCCACAAGGAGTAGCAGCATAAACGGTAAGCGTTCAACGGTTCCGGCAATACGTGACGGCACACCTTTTGTTATAGAGACGTGTGATTGCTATTTGCGAGTATATGGAAGAGGGTTGACAGTGAATGTTAGGCGGTTGAAACTTTGAGACAATGTGCCCGACAATAATTTTATTTTTTAGTAACTGGTTAATTAGGATTAGGGTATGAAAAAATACGATAAAGCAAATGTAATAAAATTATTTACAAGGCCAGTATATAATAACCCCAGGGAATGAGTTGATCGCTCCCAAGCTATTTATAAAAGGAAAAAAATCAGTTGTATAATATTTAATTTTTTTTAAGAAATAACATGAATTACAAAAAAGAGTACACCTACGGAGTTTCTTTCGCCTGTTTCTTCTCCGCTAGAGGAACCTCATTACGAAACGGTGGCAGATTTAAAAAAAAAATATGATTATCGATAGATGAAATGTATGTTTCTTATGTCGATGAATAAATGATTTTGATTTTTAATTTTGAGTATAACATTATATTATATGGGTTAGATAAAAATATAGTATAGATGTTCGCCTCGCAAACGGCCATTGCGGATTGATATGGGTTCGATCACGAAACAAAATAAAAGCTGTATCCTAGTCAGCTTATATTTAACATATAGGAATTATTTGCCAGTGCCGTACTAAGTAATAATTTCTTTCATTTTTCGTAAAGAGTAAAGACATCGTATGCAGTTCGATTACATGAGCCGTAGGATGAGTATACAAATTAGCATTTAAAGCGAATAGAACGACTAAGGGGCTAATTTATTTTTAATTCAAGTCTCTATATCACGCAATCTATCTTGAGATCCTATCTCATATATCGATTGATTTTACAAACTGGCAACTGATTCACTTCTAGCCCATCTAAGTTCACTAGTTTACTAGGACACACTACTCCAGTAAAAACTTGTTCATTTTTTCGTAAGCGTTTCTTGTGACGATAGAGCAACGTACTAAGCTCTACTATCGAATGAATGGGTATTTACGTGCGGAGAAGTTCCGCAACGTCATAGACCAGCGTAAATTAGAACTGTTATTTATTATGCCGGATTCTTCGTATTTATTGATACTTAGTATAGGACTTGGCGCATTGGAAGATAAGAATTATAATACCTTAGCTTAACATTTATAAAATAATAACAAGAACAATATAAAAACAAATAATAACAAGAACCACGGTTTTCCAATAAACACGGAATGAGTTGCGATTTTTTACGAATAAAACTGTACAAAGGTGTAATCGTTGTCAGTACACAGGCGATGCTGATTTTGTGTTCAAATTCCACTACGGAATGATATTTATTTTACATATTTGCATGACTACCTTGCTTTGCAACTACGCCTTCGAGTTTAAAAAAAAGTCACAAAGTATTTAAAGATAGGTAAGTTGAAGCAACATAATTATATAAAGGCCCATTTACATGGTGCCAGTTTCTTGCCTGTTGTATACAATTAAATTGAAGCAATAAATTGCGCGCAATAATTGTTTAGACCATTTGTTGTTTAGACCATGCAACTCATTTATTGCTTCAATTTAATTGTATACAACAGGCAAGAAACTGGCACCGTGTAAATGGGCCTTAAGACTAGCTGACTCGGAAACGTTGTTTTGCCACATAAATTATTTCTAGTCGGAAACGTTGTTTTGCCACATAAATTATTTCTAGGGAATTTGTGAATCTAAACACAAAGAAAAAGATGTTTGACGTGGAACGCACGCATAAAGTATTTGACAGGTTACACAGACATAGTTGGCAGGTAGAGTTTGTATGGGAAAATAAAATTTTTGCTATTTCGATTTTCCATGCAATTTTTCCATAATTTCTCATCGTTTAAACTTTCTCTGGTCAACCACAAATATTTAAAAACCAAAATTAGCCAAATCGGTGCACCCGTTCTCGAGTATTTTAGCGAGACTAACGAACAGCAGTTCATTTTTATATATAAAGATTTATACAATTAGTAACATTTAATGCGTAACTTTTACTATATCTAAACCTAACTTTGGGTATACGGTTTTGAATGTTCCTGTCTGCATTCATGTGTAGTATCTTAATTATTATGTACATTTTTTGTATGTCTTAATAAATTAAATTACGGCAAGGTCGTTTATTCTTTGTGCAATTTGTGATCACAAAGCGTCTCTACCGTTTTAGACGATCATATCCAGTAGTGAGAATTATTGTTTTAATTAGGGATAGAAAGGTATCTTCAATCTTGTCATACTTTATACCTTAAAAGCGATAAAGTCATTGTTAAAGAATTGCTATCGGTAGCTGAAGTAGACACAAATATCCGGTTGTAAAAATAATAAGGTCTGTTGGTAGCGCGTTTATATCAATGCTGTTTATATAGTAACAGACTATACATGTCCCACTGCTGGGCAAAGGCCTCCTCTATACAGAGGGTATCAGGGCATAGTCCATCACGCGGCCCCACTGCGGATTGGCGGACTTCGCATATTTTCGAAATATATATATTTTTTGTTATTATTTCGAAAATATGCAGGTTTCCTCACAATGTTTTCCTTCACCGCGGAGCACGTGATAAGTCAGCACTTAAAGTTAAAAACTTCATTGGTGCCGGCACCGGGGATCGAACTCAGGTTGCTCGAGTATATTGAATTAAAGGCGAGCGCCCGGACACTGAGCTATCACGGCTCGCTGTTTATATGATTACTTTAAACTTTAGAGAAGTAACTGGTAACGTCTTAAGGAGTTTTATTATGAATAAACGCAGTTGTATTGTGAAATAAAACTAATTTCTCTTGTTGCGTTTCATTATTGTTTGAACCGTCGATGTTTCGAACACTTTATAGAGTCCGTGGTAACTAAAATGTCAACTATAAATTTATTTTTCCAATCTAGAAAGCACGAGCTTTATCTGATGTCAGATTTAAACCGCATTTTTAAATAACATATAAAATAGTGAAAGAAAGATATTTCTATTTTTGTATAACAAAAAATAGTGTCGCACACACTCATGGCTGCTTACATTCAGAAGCGTGAATTTTCAAATATTAAAAAAGTATCAGCCTATACATATCCCACTGCTGAGCAAAGGCCTCTTTTGTACAGACCCTCTGTATCATATATCAGGGCATAGTCCACCACGCGGCCCAACTGCGGATTGGCGGACTTCACATGTCATCGAAATATTTTTTTTTGTTATTTCGAAAATATTTCCTCAAGATGTTTTCCTTCACCGCCGAGCACGTGCTAAGTCAGCACTTGAAATTAACAATTTCATTGGCGCCGGCACCGGGGATCGAACTCAGGTTGCTCGAGTATATTGAATTACAGGTGAGCGCGCGGACTGAGCTATCACGGTTCAAATATTTGTATGTATTAATGGAGATTATTTTTAAACCGTAGATGCAATCCCATATCCACAGGAAAACGAAAAAACGGTATAAAACAATAAATAATATAATTTTGTTTGAACGATCATCGTAATCATCGTAATAGAATGAGAAAGTTGTTAATTGTTACTACCATTACCATTTTTACATTCTTGATATTGTATTTTTCCCAGTTGTGGTGGTTCAGGGACCTTCGTCATATTTGCTTGTCTTTGTTACTTTGTTTTTTTTTTTTTAAATATCTTTATTCACATAAACGCTTGCGCGTTCTTATGAAACGTCGAAAATTTAAAAGGAAATTAATATGTTCGTAAATTACCACCGGTTCGGAAAGCAGTTTCTGTTGAGAAGAAACCGGCAAGAAACTCAACAGTTTTCGTTTAAATTCATCAAATATTCAAATAGTTTCAAATATTTCAAGTAGAATTACAATGTTTCACGCCTGCTGGAGAAACAACTAAACTTTAATTCGAATCTCTAATAACTTGGCCCACCGACCAGATGTTAATTACTGTACACTTAAAATATTTACGCAGAGTCAGAACATGAAGTTTTTCCACGTAATAAATTATGTAAATAGTATTCTACGTACTTTATGAGAAATACAAGAACTTATTTAGTGAATAAATGACCGTTGATTTGTAAATAACGGAAGTAATCACCGGCGGTTCGCGATTGTTTTGTTCCACCCTTTAAAATAGGGGATGATAATAGATCTTCAGTGTGTTGCGTAATTATTTTGTTTGTAATTTTTAGTTTATCTTGTAATTTTTATTATCTTTGTGAGCAATAGCCATTTAAAAAAAAAGAAAAGAAAATATTTGGAGTGGTGACATTAACTTTGCGTTAACCTGTGAAGCTACATTAATTTAATGAACTGTGACGTATTTGTTACTCACCTACTGTTTAGTACCGACGAAGTTAGGTATAATTAACGTAGTGCTTAACAGAAGCGACTATAATCCTGCGTTGAATACTTGCGATTATCAATTTTGTGGGAAGACATACGAGATGCACATACAGACATATCAAACATTCACCATTTACAAAAGAAAGCTAAAGACCAATGCACTGATTATTAAACTTTTCACAACATGAAATTTCTTGTAGCAGGCCTGTAAGTGATGATAAATGATTACCGCCGCCCATTCTTCGCAACACCTTAGCGTTGGCTGGGTTCGCGACTCCGTCACCGAACGAAACTCCAAAAGTGTTATAAGTAATTCGGTCTACAAGAGACCGTGGTACTTTTGCATTAGGCCGGCCTATTCTTGCAACACCATCGATAGAAATAACAATTTAACAATGAAGGAAATAATGCACCCGTAACAAACACGGTTTACAGTCATTATTTTTCCGGTTTGCCTCATAAGAAGAACTTATTTTCAGTTTCTTCAGAAGCTATCGTCTTGTTTCACGAGATATTATTACCAAATGACATGATCTGTAGTCGATGGATGCAGGTCGTGGTTCGTGGCAGGCTGTGGGAGGCCTATGTTCAGCTGGGGGCTCATACAGGCTTGAATAATACGATGATGATACATATTGTGCCATTGACATTTAATCGCACAAGTTTCTTGATTATTTTCGGTGCTTTCATCCGGACAGAAAATGTCATTGACCTCTACGGTTTTTTTTGTCTACCTATTTTCTATCTCAAAAATAGAAAATAGGTACACATAATATAATCTACACACGTGAAGAACCTATACACAGGTCACAAGCACCAAATAGTCATTTG